CAGCAGCCGGATTTGGTGCGGGAGCTGAAGGTTTGCCGCCACCTGCAAAATCTCTTGCATACTTTTCTCTAGCGGCTACATGCTTATCCTCTCTAATTCTGGAGATATGTCTTTCGATGACGTCCAAGAGATAGCGATAGCTTCGTCTTTGGTCCCCCTCCATCCATGACTCGTATTGCTTGATGTCGAACATCATAAGGCTCGAATTTCGAATCTTCTTGTATAAAGCATCACGAAGCCAATCATCAGGAGGTACATCATCCGGCATCATGTTAGATACCATCTCCATCCATTTCTCATAGAACACTTCCAGGTTTGAGTCACCGAGATACTTCATCGATACGATGTGCTCCATAGTGAAGGCTGTCTCTCGTTGACCTGGAGTTCTGAAGTGCTCCAAGATCATAGCCAAGATTTCCCGTCCCATGACATAGGTTCCTCTTCGACTATGACTTTGTGTCCTCAATCTCAGTTTGATCGCTACATGACGAGCAACATCACCGGCTTGGGCTATCACGTTTGACAATGCGATTGACAACTTGGCGTCGATTGACTGGTACCGTTGCCCCCCACTGTCATTCAATAGCTCGATATCGGGATTTGGTCGAATAGCCGGTTGTAACCATGCTTCCCATGCGGCTTTGTCCCCATCATTGGCAGCGAGAACAACACTCTTGATGAGATCTGATTGCCAGACCCCAAGATTCTGCTGTTTCGGCCATGGGCTAACATAGACCTTGTCAGCCTCCCGTCGTGACATTCTTGGCGCTTCTTCTGCCGTGTAAGCTGCAGTGGAGACATCATCTGCTGAATCACGTTGTGATCCTCGAACTGAAGGCAATCCCGGAGGTTCAGGAGGTGGTCCTGGACCGTTGGGCCCGAAAGGGTCAGGAGGTCCATCAGGGTCAGGCGGACCGCCCCATCCACTCGGTGGTTTGTAGTAGTCCCTCTCAGTTCCGTCAGCGATCCTATTGTCGACTTCTCTCAACAAATCAGTGATTCTTTTGTTTGATTGAGAAGGTTGTCGTTGAGGATGTACAGCATGTTCGCGATAGGATTTGGCTACATTTGTTTCATGGTTCAACTCCTTGTCAATCTGCGAGACCCAAGACTTCAGAATAGCGTTTTCACAGTTAGCCTCACTCACGTCATTCTCCAATTTGTCGATGACTAGTCTTGATGCGAGATCGTAGTTGGGAATGCCTGCAGAATAGGAAAGCGTGTCAGGGTTGACCCTTGACATGGATATTTCAGAATCCTTGAGACTCTTCCTCATTTCATCTACTTGACGTTTCATGTCCATAATCTCAGAATTCTTAATACCGATCTTTTCATCCCTATCCTGGATTTCTCCCATGAATATGCATGATCTCTCATATTGTTGAACACCACTAGCCAATACCATTTTGCGCTCATTCTCTAGTTCAGATTTCAGAGTTCGGACCTCGGTATTGGTGAGGGACGGCGCCCCTACATCCGCAACTTCAGTCAATCTCTCCTTTAACAATAGGTTCTCTTGTAAACATTCATGAATTTCATGGTCTAGGTCCTGAACCCTGATTTGAGCGATCTTAGCCTGATTACGCAGATCTTCGACAAGCATCTCATCGGGGCCACGACCGTCGGTCGTAGAACCCTGAGTCAGCGATCTCCGTAACTTCGCGTTCTGCAACTTGATCTCATCCTTCAGTTCGCAGTTCATCTTCTGCTCGTTCGCATAGAGCTCCTCATAATGCTCTGCCTTTGCGATTGAGTTTGTGCTAGCCTGTGATTCAAGCCTCAGGTGCGATATTGCTTCGGCCTCTTGGTTCCTGTATGATGCAATTCTTCTGACGGTATCATGTTCGGTATTCCGATGCTTCAGGTCACTTTCCAACTTGGCCTGATTTGCCTCGAACACCTTCTTCCTAGATTCTCTAGTGATCTCATCAATACTGCTCTCATACAGCTCGGCCTGTTTACGAGACTGAACCAAGGCTTCACTCAATAGTTGATTTCGCTCAGACAATTCATGAACTGCAATTGATTGTTGTTGGCTAATCACTTCAAGTTGATTACTAGAGAAGGATGCCATCTCGGATCGATTACGATATTCCATGATTGAATTCTGGAAGTCTGTTTGCATTTCCTGACCTTCATTGTATAGTCGATTGGCAATATCGGTGGTTAAGACATTGGTCTGATGAAGTTGTTGAAGTCTTGCCTCCGTATTACCCAGTAGTCCTTGAAGGTGATGTACTTCATCCTTGTACTCTTCCTGGATCTCCATGCCACGTTGATGGATCCGTCGTGCACCATGTTCCATTAGGGCACCTCGGCGTTCAAGGTCTTGGATGCGCATTGTTGCACCTTCATCTTCCTGAGATGCTACCATTAGTTCTGCTTGATATTCTGCAACCTCATTTGCGGAACATAACAATCTGTTATTGAGTGCATTGACCTCATCAAGTACATTCTGGTTGTGTTCCCGAAGATATTCAGTGAATCTGATCTCGATGTCATGAATCAGCTGATCTCTAGATGCAGCGTATGCTTCCATGTTGTTCAGCTGATTACGTAGGGATTGACATTGTGCCCGTAGTTCCATCATGGCAACAGGTTCACTAGCCACAGAAGTATCTGTTGATCTCCTCTTAACACGGCTATCCCCGGTCCTCTCACCAATTCGGTCGGTCACGGCCCTGGTGGATCTGTCCCTTGGAGTAGTTCGTCCTCGAGATGGTCGATGCCCTTGACGGACAACATCACTCCGAGCACTGTTTCGAGAAGATCTAGGTGTACTTTGAGTGGATATTCTTCGTCTGTTTGATGTGACTTGCCATCCGGACTGTGTAGTTCGGGTAGAGCGTATCCCGCCACTGTCTGCCGTGTCACCAGGGGAAGATTGATTGACCTCCTCGACCGGCATAGCAGCGTTCTCATTGAAGGTAAACTGCGTGGTGCGCGAGTCTCCGCTGCCGCCTTGCATCTTTGCGACGATGAGCTGATTGGTCCTTTGCGTCCTCAATCAATTGCTCAGACGGCCCGGCTACCAGCACGCAGGCACCACTCTCCCGGCGGGAGAAGTGAGCTCTACGGCTGATAACCTGTGAACAAATGAATCCTTGTTCTGGATATCTCTGATTTGTAGTACCTTAGTGCTGGGACAGCCGAACCTAACGAAGCATTGCGAGCATCACGCGGTTGTTTTCCTCTCAGCGGGCGCTTGAGCCACAATGGGCGTCCGTTATGAAGTGCAGTGTTCATATCATACATGCACCTAGCGCCTGGTTCCCTTTGACATTTAATACAAAAAGATGTGGGGAAGTGGATCTTCCCTCCTATCCTTTGAAGGTCATTGCGTCATTGCCCACAATGGAATTCGCAACCATTAGAGTCATTAGAGTTGCCAAGAGTTCTGACATAAATCATGTGGTTGGGAAACTCTTAGTAGCTCCAAGGTTTCATAGTGAGTGTATGGGAATATAGATACCCCAAGCGCTACGCCCAGAAGGATGCGGGCCGGTTCCCTGTTTCTCACCCCGATGGCTTCATCTGAACATAGTGCACCCCACCATGCAATTGTTCATCATCATGTTTCCCTTGTTTTGTTTGCTGACTGGTAGCTTCAACTCAAATATGGGTCAGTGAAAAAATCATCCCAGTTATATGGTTGACAACATAAGAAATGTTTTTTCAATCATCAACCAGTTGACATGTTTTTTCCATATGGTTGTAAAATCACAGAGTTCTCCAGTTGCTTTGACTCATAAGTTGCCCCTCTTTGCAAAAAACCGTTTCTCCACGTAAAACGCTCCCAAGCGTCAAGGTAGATCCCATGTTTGGCAACTGGATGAATATCTTCTGTTAATGGTTAACATTAATGGTTATGATGATCGTTAATGATGGTTAATAACTATATTGTATATATATATATTAGGGTAAATTATAATATGTCACTCATCTGAATCTGAAAGGCCATAAAAGGGGATGACTTCCAAAAAATCTAAACCATGATGAACCAGGCTTCGGGAGGACAGGCTTCGGTCGTGATCTAATTTACCCAGAGTAATGCAACGGTTTGCTATGTTAAAATGGTCCTGAAACATGGTGAATTTCCATACCTTCCAAGGGTCGGGATGATTCCCATTTTTTTTGAACCGTCGAAACAGGTCAGCCACTGAAGTGCATGATGACATATGATATATACATCATATATGTACCCGGCCTGGTAAACAAACAGTTTGCGACATTGAAAATGGCCCATAGAAATCGTTGATTTACCCATTAAAAATGGTGATGTTCCATACTTATGTTAGTTTACCAGAGGGTATATATATATATATATATTATTATATATATATTATATTATATATATATATGGTTGGTGGTATACCTACCCCTCTGAAAAATATGAGTTCGTCAGTTGGGATGATGACATTCCCAACTGAATGGGAAGTCATAAAATTCCATGATTCCAGTCACCACCAACCAGATTTTTTTCATCTTGTTCCTCATCGAATCCCCTTGTATTTGTGATCCATCCCCTTGTAGAAAACCAACAAATGTGCCGTTGTATAATCCTTGTATCCAATCGTGTCCCACAAGTCACCTCTACATGGTGAAATTTTGTAGGTCCAAGAAATCACCCTTGGAATCCAGAATTTCATGGCTTAATTTTGGGTGGGTCAAAATTGCTTGATTTTTTTGACCCATGATTTTTAAGCCCTCAAATCATCCAAGTCATTCGACAATTTTAACTAGTATTTAAACCCATGGTAACTTGGGGTACCCCCATGACTTAAGAAATCCCCGTATAAACATGTCAGACCCTACTGTACCCGATAGATCCCATTAGTATAGGATCATAATTCATTAATATTCATTAGGTATCTAAGTTCCATGCATTTTGGACTCATATCAACAAAGACATGGGTGGTTTCCTGAAATAGGGCTACCCCAAAGTTTAGAAAAATTCGACCTGAGTCAGTTGAAACCCATGGTGACTTGGGATAGCCTGGCCTCGCTGGTCCAGCGAAAGGCCGGCAGCATCTGGTGCGAGGGACCACTGATGGCCTGGAAAATAGGGAACATCCCATGAAAATCGTGAAAATCCCATGAAAATCACAAGTTTAATCGGGTTTAATCCAACAAAAACTGGTGATTCTGATGGACCAATGGATGCATAGCGGTTCGATGGTGACCATACCAGGTCTTATTGGCTTCAGGTGACCATACCCACTAGGTGCCTAAGAAAAACCATGATTTAGGAGGATGATCATCATCAAAAGTCAGGCAAAAGCTCCAAAAATGCTGCATAGATGCGCAGATCTGTGCCTTTTATTGCCAGGTATGACATCCTTTCGGGAAAATTGAGTCGCTTTCGCGCCATGTTGGATGGTCACCCCTCAATTTCTCGCAAAAATGCTCATCTTGGAGACCCTCCAAAGAGCCTGGATTCTACTTCAGGGATCATCTCAAAAAAAACTGCTCAGAAGATTTCCGGGAATATTTCACCCCTTTTTTTGAAACCAGGACGGTCATGGATAGCCATAGCCCGGACTGGCCATGGCCCCGGATTGTCTCCGATCACCTCCACTTCCCGCGGACCTGGCATTTCATCTTCTTCAAAAGGCAACTGTTGGTCACCTGCCAGCCCCGAGGGGTGGATTTTTCCCATCACTTGGCTGAAACTTTGTAACTTCGCCAACTTCTAAGTGGGGGCCTAGTAAATTGCGCAAGTTCAGACCATAGATGGGAAAATTCATGGATTCGTGGAGCTTGTTCTCTTCTGGAATGTTGGAACTGTGAGGCTTCATCTCATATGGTTTTTCACGTAAAATATGGCGATAAAGCGGGCCTGTTCCCTTCAACGAATTCTGGGAGAAAGGAACAGGAAAGTTCCCTTCTTTGGAGTGTTGGAAATCCTTTTTTTGGATGCGGGAAATATAGATCTTTTTAGTTGCGATTCCTGCAGGATGTTGCCTCGTTCCAAATCCATCTTTCTGTTGCACCGCGTGTTGCGGATGGAGCAGCTCTGCGTGATTGAAAATTGAAAAAGTCAGCACAAAGATTGGATTCTCATACTATACTAATAATATCGATGGTTTTTATCAAAACAATACGATATGACGATACGATACCATGCAATACACTACAATACATATACAGTATGTATATATATATGTGTGTAACACTATAATTAATATAGGGAAGTTCTTAAAATGAGGGACCCGAAAGTCATCCAAAAATGATCAAAGTTCAAGGCCCGCCAAGTCACCATTGTTTCAACGGTGCTGAAAATGGTGGTTTACTATGGGATTTAATGGCGGTTTAACGGAGTTTAATGGTGATTTAGTGGAAATCAATGGTGGTTTAATGAAGACTTAATGGTAAATAAATTAAATGGAGACATGTTTAGATACCCTCCGAAACAATCAAACGTGGCAATGGAAAATCTCCCGTTGAGTTTGACAACACAATCTATGTACCAGGGATTTTCCATTGCCACGTTTCATTGCCGGAGGGTATCAGATGTTTCCATCATGTCCCCACTTCTTCCCTATACTTTGGGAAACTCTAGCTCCAACTGGCTCCCCATGCAAAAAAGAAGGGAAATTATATATATGTTGTGTTTCTATTGTGCTCCTTTTGGGTGTTTAGCTAGAAACCTGTTACCATAGATGGGAAACACACTATATATATATATATGTATGTGTATATATACATGTATATGTATATATATATGTATATGTGTATATATATATGTATATATATATATGTGTATACATATATGTATATATAATAATATATACATGTATATATATATATATGAATATATGAATAATTATGAATATGGATAGCCACAGCTCCAAAACGCTCCCAATGCCATCAAACTGCCTTGGCGTCAATGCCACCATTGGGGATGTTGTTGACCATCCTGGGGCGACAGCTCCAAATCTCTAGGCAATCTGTAGGTAAAAATGGTAAACCACTGGATTTTGAATGCCCTATGTTCAGACAACTATATATATGTGCTGATAGTTGTTGATGGAATGATAAAAATAACTGCGTGGTAATCTGTCATCGATGATTTACTACAAAAGTAGGTCCCCGCAAAAGGTAAACCGAATGGGTCAGTAATCCTGGGCTGACATAATCCCAAAAAAATTGTCTACTTAAACGTTGCCCAAGTGATTAGGAAGCGGGTTCTAACCCAATCATTGACCACTTGGCTAATTCTAGACACATTCAAGTACAAATTGGGTTAAATCTTAGTTGAGAAACATCCAATTTTCAGACACACCCATATATGGCAGCTGATTAGATACCATGATAGATATATATACATACGTATGTATGTATGTATGTATATATATATATATACTATGATAATCCCATATATCCCATTATAATCTCATATTTACAATACCTAAAGAGATGAGGTTCTTCATCTATGTTTTGTTGATTGGTCATATCCCATGAAAGTCCCACATTTCATGATTTGGCTTTTCCCGAAAAATAAGGGAATGAAAGTACCGTGGAAATTCTGGTTGCAGCTTGAGCCACCTGAGAAATCTGCGAGAGTCAACTCGTCAGTGGACATCATCATCCCGGAATGAAAATCAAAGTGTTGCTTATCATAGTTGATTGGTCACATCTTTTTTCCAATCTCCGAGAAAATATCCCAGTATGTTGCTTGAATTTGATTTTGTATTTACATATATATAATTATATATATATACATATAATATTAGATAATCATCCCGGCGGACCGGGAACCGTGCTCGTAAAAACAACGTTTAAACAAAAAAAAAACATGTTTGCTACATTTTGCTACATCGGAACGCACATTTGTATGAGCCAAATTCGCGTTTCGTGAGGGTTTTGGACACTTTTCATTGGGTCAATTTGATAGGCGCTTTTTATTGTCTTTTCAAAGCAGGCGCTTCAGCGTTGAAATGGTTTTTTGCTGGAGCCGAGTATGTAGATTCACATAACGCCATTGCGAGCGTTTCACATGCAAGAGAAGATCTTTGCTCTTTGAACCCCACCCCACCCCTTCGTGTATACACCGTAGCAAGAACACCAGAGATCTCTGCAGCGTAGCAACATATAACGTACGAAGTACAAGGAACATTAACATGCCCCCTCCCCCCACCCCACCCCACCCCATCATGACCTCCGAACACACGTTAACAAAAACATGCGTTTTACGAGCACGGTTTTCGGTCCACTGGCATAATCATCACATGAATTTTCGAACTAAATGCGCCATGGCTTCCATATGGCGAGCTGTGAAAAAAATCACCAGAGGGTACCCTATTCATATACCCAACTTTCCCATAAAGTTCATAAAGCATATATTCCTCATGAACATAGGTTCCCCAGATAATTTCTATAGGAACCCCCCAGTCATGCTAAAAAGTTACAGAAACCTGGGAATAAAAGGGGGAAACATCATCCATTTCACATCCAGGAAACACGTGTCAGCATTTTTTGGGGGGGATACTACAGTAATACATTTTATTATATTTTATTTATATATTCATCCTGAAGTAGATAAAAGATATCAAAGATACATGTGTCAAAGATATTCTCATACTTTTTCCTGAGGAGGTTTCTCATTTTCGTGAGACGCAAGCCCGATACGAACGGTTGCATCCCAGGGGCGCGTCCAAATCCAGGCGCGCCATAATGGCGTGGCCCGGACCGGAAGGCTGTCCCACCACGGTATCCTGAGGCTGTTCCAACCATGCTGACGACTGGGAATCCCCCATGACTTAAGAAGCCCCTACCCTCTGGTAATTTAACATAGCTATGGAAAACGGATCATTTATAGTTGTTTTACCTATTAAAATTGTGATTTTCAATAGCTATGTTAGTTTACCAGAGGGTATATGTCAAAACAGATGTACAAATAACATAGGATAGTCAGAACATGTTTTTTCAATGTATATCACATCAAATTTATGACAAACAATGACAAACATATATATGTTTTACATCATCGTCCAAAACGTCCAAAAGTTCTGTTGCACCAACCATCCCAACCCCAACCCCAACCTTTGGGGGGTCCCTGTAAATTTCTGACTGTTAGCTATTAAGATTGGAACAAGCTGTGAGAAAAACATCCTTTCGGCCAGGCAAAAAGTGGAAATGCATCATTTTTACTTGGATTCTTGGGGTCCGTTGCTTCCAGGCATGGCGTTTTTCGGTTGTTGGAATATAGGAATCTACTTTGCATATCTTGGCATATCTTTGCCTAACTTTTGTTACGATGTACTCTGGAATGATCCGTAAAGCAGACTTCTGCACATCCACTTGCTGTTCCAGGTAAAGGTGTCGTTGGTACAAATGGTCATCTACAAAAACAGATCCAGCTTCCCTATAACAATAGGGGTTCTTGGGAACATGAGTGAGCATATGACGGACTTAGCCTCTTCCCTCAAGGCTTTTTCTCCCAATGATCTTTTGGTATCCCAGTACATGCCTCCTCTTCAAATTTACAAAAAGTCCAGAGACCAACCTTGGGGACTTCTACAAAACACGAGATTCCCTGGAAAACCTCCATGTTTCATGGGAGTTTCCCAGCGATATGAAAAAACTCCCGAGATGTACCGCTAATCCATCGTGTCTGCCGAAATCCCCCAACTCAATGGGAGATGTTCCAGCGGAGTTTTTTTTGGAGGCCTCCCAGCTTCCCAGCATCGTCCATAAAACATCCCACATCATTAGACCACCAGTAAATCTCGATGAAACCAGCATGTTCACCACCATTCTCAATATTCATCATCTCTCCTTGGGATTGTTTTTGGTCATGGCATCGCGCATTCCACTGAGGTCGCCTAAGGACGTGATGTGACGCTTGAGTCAAAGAATGGATGAAGTGTGGGGAAAACATGGGGGCTATCTGTATACATATATATATATATATGATATGTATATATATATATATATGTGTATGTGTATATATATATATATGTATATATAATTATATATATAATATGGATATACACATGTGTGTGTGGGTGTTTCATATGCCCATTCTTAATCAAATCCTATTGTACTTGGGAAATCATGAAAATTGTGTCAACAACATGGGAGATTCTAGCCTTAAAACTGTGGATTTTAGCCAGTAAGACTGCTTACGGGTCGGTTGATACCTTGGGCCAGGGCCACGACGACAGCAAGAATAGATGGCTACAATGCCAAAAATAGATTAGACAGATGTGTGTATATAAAATTATATAAATAGTTTGTAACATATTAATCTGCTATATGAGTAATATACTATCTATGTATACAGTGTATACATATATATATAGTATACCGCCATGATCATCCGTAGATGACTGCCAGTAATATCCATTAATGATTGTGCTCTCAACATGTGCGTGACGTGTCCCAAAGCACCTTAACAGTGAGCGTTAACCATTTTTCCTCATCGCAAATTGAAAGATCAGGCAGAAATGATGATGAATCAAAAAAAAAGCCATTGGCAAAATTGGCAAATCATCAAACAAACATTCCGAAATGATGATTGGCAAATATTCAAACCAAGAACTGGCAGGAATGGCAGTCGACACCCGGAAAATGACCAAAACACAGCTGGGAAAATGACCGTTGAAGTCTTGGGCGACGTTCGCCATGCTCTTTAGCACCAGTGTGAAAAATATAAAGATTTTGGTATGCCAAATGACAAACCATTCCTAACTTCACAATCAACGAACGGTTTTTAAGTTACAATCCGAACTTGGAGGCGTATGGAATTGGGTTCGCAACAGTATGTGAAGGGTCCGGGTATCATAATTCCTCTAACAAAAGTGTTGCTGAATTCTGGCTTTCCTGTATGCAAACCGTCAGTAAATGTGTCCCCATCGAACATGTACCAGATTCCCAAAAGTTATGTCTCCATTCATGGGAGATAGCCCTCTGTGCCAGATTAGTGGGCAAACCAAAATTCTATTAGCCAGGTCGGAGAATCAGAAACTTTCGGTGAAAATATGCCGGATTCTCCAGGCTTGATGACATCGTTTATGCCAGAGGAAAACCTCCGTTCGAACGGAGAATCCTATGAAATCCCAATGAAAATATTGGGTAGAAAAATGGCTATATTGGGAATTCATCGTAATCCAAGAACTAATCATCAATTTATCTCTAATATTCTTGATCCGAACTAATCATCAACCAACCAGGCTTTTGAACACTGCTCACTAGAATTCACCAACCTGAAACGGGTACCTTTTGCCGCCGTGATTTCTTTAAGGCTCCCAACCAACACCAGCCCCGTAGCGCTGCAACATCTCTGCGCGCGGCGCCGCTTCGAAGGAGTAGAAACTGCCCCAGCGGGCCTCCAGGGATGGACCAAAATGGAAAAATGGATGGTGATCGATCAGAACTATGATTTATTGGTGATATGAGTGATATGATATATCTATAGTTTTATGGGATTATAATCCATTTATAACTGGTGATATGATATAACCATAGTTAAAGGGGATTATACCATCTGGTTATGACTAACAGTTAGCCATGATATTTTCCACCCATGCTATATAGCTAGGTAAACCATCTCTTTCTATGGGCCATGTTCCATGGCTATGTTAAATAACCAAAGGGTAGATTCAACCAACTTAGCTAGCCAAAATGGGGAGATAGCTGTATAAAATTGTATAAATCATTCAAAAGTTGAAATTTCAGCAAGCATTATGGGCATGAAAAACATTATACTTTTTTAACCGGAGCCTAAGGCTCAAGCCTGACTTGCTGAGGTTGACTCTCAAATGAAAGCCGAACTATGAATCTTACAAGACTTCCTCATAAATTGCGTTCATCCTGAAGCCTGATGAACAGTTCACAATTGAAAAGGGGGCATTGACGAAGCATTGAAATAGAAATCTGTAAAAGAGAAAATTGATGAAACACATGACAACCCCAATGGATTATTTTGGTGCTTTTCCATGCTTTTCACACGTGAATTGACAGCATTCACACTAACAAAAACCAACCCCTCCGTGTCCCTGCCTCTGCCTGTTCGTGCCCCGACATCTGCCGGATATCCTCCAACTCCAAGGTGTCTCCGTTTAGTCATGGGGGTACCCCCAGTTCTCATCCAAGTCATTCGACCATGAATTACTATTGAAACAACAATTTAAGGTGACTTGGGGATCCCAAATGACTTAAGAAAGCCCAAGAACTAGTTTAGGATTATTCATGTCAAAAACCGATCAAAAGAAACCATAATTATCCATAGTTGATAGTAACTCATGACAACTATCCAAGTTCCACTTGAAATTCTCACCATTTCTCCCAACTCAGCTCCTGAAAGAAGGGTCGGTTAAAGGAGCCCCAGTATCCTTTGGCGCTCAGCTCAGACGTCAAGTCTGCCTGGGTGCAAAGGGAACGAACAGGGGAAAGGGCTTCAATGTTAGAGATATACCGATCTAATGTGCGGACGCGAGTTCGCGGGTGATATGTATTATATACACATGTATGTATGTATGTATGTATGTATGTATGTATGTATGTATGTATGTATGTATGTATGTATGTATGTATGTATGTATGTATGTATGTATGTGTGTGTGTATGTGTGTATGTGTGTATGTGTGTATGTGTGTATGTGTGTATGTGTGTATATGTGTGTATATGTATGTATATGTCTATGTCTATGTCTATGTCTATGTCTATGTATATGTATATGTATATGTATTTGTATTTGTATATATCATCATTATGATTATGACTATTGTTATTACTATCATTATTATTTTCTTTACTAATATAAATCATTATATGTATATATATATCACTATATGCATATATGTGTATGTGTATATATATACATATGTGTGTAGATATTATATGTATATTATATGAATGTATGTAAACACTGATTATTAGTTCAGAACTCCGAGACGGCCCCGGCCTGGTGGGAGATTCCCGGCAACTGCTCCAAGAGACGCAAGGCGCCATCGCGCAGCGGCTGCCCTGGAGTGAACCTGCCGGGAGGCCCATGAAAGGTGGCTGTTTTCATGGGAAAATCCTAGGAAAATCCTGGGAAAATCATGAAAATCCTGGGAAAGTCCTGGGGAAATCCTAGGAAAATCCGGGGAAAATGAAGGAAAACCATGGAAAACCACCGATCAATGGAGGTTTAGAGCAGAAATGATCGAAGTAAATGGGGAAAAATCCACCAGGCTTGATTACCAAAGGGTATCCCAAGCAAGAGACTAAACATTCTAAGATACTCATCACTGGTTTCCCAATGTCCCACTAGTATCCATTATTTGTTGCTTAGATTTCCGACCTTCTAGTATAATCCCATACAATCATCAATCAACACTCATTTATCATGTGTATTCCCATATCTAATCCCATAAATCCCTAATGACGGTTAAACCCCCGATCATATTCACCTCATTCTTCAACCATCACTGATTCATTGATCAAAAAAAACACACACAAACGCACATTTATGAATCACCATGGATCTTTAATCCATTGATAGGATTTTCCATCAAATAAACCCTCTATTTTGGGGTACCCCCTATGACTATGGAAACCCCCATATCAAAAATCACGAGAAAATCCGCCAACAGAGGCTTCACTGCCTGTTATAGTCCACCACAAGCCACTGGGAGTTGCCAGTGCCCAAGCTCTCCGAGGACAACATGGAGGTCCACTGCGTCCCTGGCACTGGATGTGCCGGAACTCGGGCATCGGATACAATATCTATATTATAATATATATATATATATGTGTATATATATACTGTATATAGATAGAAATAGAGATAGATAGAGATAGAAATAGAGATAGAAATAGAGATAGAAATAGAGATAGATATGGATAGAGATAGATATGGATAGAGATAGATAGAGATAGATAGAGATAGATAGAGATAGATAGAGATAGATAGAGATATAGATATAGATATAGATATAGTTATAGACATGTATATATATATAGATAGATGGATAGATAGATTTAGATAGATTTAGATAGATTTAGATAGATTTAGATAGATAGATAGATAGGTAGATAGATAGATAGATAGGATTGGATTGGATTGGATAGGATTGGATAGGATTGGATTGGATTGGATTGGATTAGATTAGATAAGACAAGACAAGACAAGATAAGATAAGATAGACAGATAGATAGATAAATCTTATATATATATAGAGAAAGAGAGAGAGAGAGTGCCCCTCAATAATAATACGTATATAATAAGTGAATGTATATGCCTATAATATGCATATCAATGCATACGCATATGTATATCTATATATACACGTATCGTCACCCTGGAAAAAAAAAAAAGTGAAATCTAACCGAACCGAACAGAACATAGTGACATAGTGAAAATCTGAACCTTTCCTACTTTTTGGACGCTTCCTATAAGCCTCCATAGAAGTCATAGTGCTGTGGATCTACAAAACCTCATCAGGTGACATGCACAATGAATTGGCTGTTTTTCGTGGGCATCTCAGAAGTTACTGTATTATCCCATAGAAAATCCCTCATTTTTCCACTATTCCCAAAATTATAAGCTCATCATAGCTCATCATTTCCCATGTCGGTTTACCTCAATACTCCCAAATGACCAAAAGGTACCAAGGGTTCAAAGAAAAGTCTAACAACATTTTGCACAAGACTTGCTCCGAAGACGCAGGCCTGTCTTGGCCACGCGGTTCACAGCCATGACGTGCAGAAATCGCGGCAACCTGCCAGCTTTTTCTAATGGATACCCTCTGGTGAACTAACATAGCAATGGAAAATCACCATTTTTAATGGGAAAATCCACTATAAATGGCCATTTCCATTGCTATGTTAGTTCACCAGAGGGTACGTCCAAGCATCAGCCACTCGAATTGGGGGTGCCCTACTTGGAGGAGCACCCCAGGAATCGTAAGTGGTTATTTTGACCCTGGTTAGTAAGTCCCCGATTCGTGGGTTATCCCATTTATATATAAATGATGGCTTATATATAATCCCAACTACTAACTGGGGTGATCCACCAAGTAGTTCAGACAAGCCCAATATTACCTACCATACTACGCGAAGAAGATGCAACTGTCACTGAGACAAGTTGTGGAGAGTCTACCAGCACCAGTCGACCGGTGCGCTAAGTGATTGGTAAGTGGGTGATCAAACGCTTATCACTGGGATGTACCCTAGGTATCACATAATCACATAGCTAATTCTGGCAACATCAATACTCATGGTTAATAACCACTAATAGGGGCTAGTCATCCAATGGTTCATAGGGATTCATAATAACCATTATAAGGATCCTTATTATGGATGGGATGACCATCAACCATATAGTGAGTATTGACCATGGCTCATCTAGAAAATCACCCATGTTATACACCATTTTCCTGCCTTAAACGGGAACGGATTCCTCGTTCACTGAACACAGTTCGATCCTCTTTCTGGAAAACTGCTACAAAGTTGACACCCTCAGACGGCTAACCAATCGCAAACCCCACAAACAACAAGATTGTATAATGCATACTGTATATTGATATATATTGATATATATATATATATTGATATACTGTTAGTAAATAATCCTGACATGCAAGATCTTTAGTTGCTGCAGGGCAACTATATTATATATATATATATTCCTCCCACAAGTGGTGCTTCAGAATTACAAACCATGTGCAGAGTTGGTGAAGACTGCTATGTTTCTTGGCTTACATTGCTGGTTGGTGGTATACCTACCCATCTGAAAAATGATGGAGTTCGTCAGTTGGGATGATGAAATTCCCAATATATGGAAAAATAAAAGTCATGTTCCAAACCACCAACCACATTGAGTTGCAAGTCACAAGATTTACCAAAGATTCTGTCGTGATTCACGAACCTGAAAAGTTCGGCCAAAAATGGGGAGAATCTTTCCCCAATCCTAAGCCATCATTCCAGCAACGTCGCGAAGTGAGGTTATGATCAAATCTATCCAAATATGGAGGTATCATGGGATATTACCCAATTCTAGATCAATCCTATGAAAATATGGCCATTTTCCATTGCTTTTTTTTCAACCAGAGGCGAATGTTATGTTGTAGTTTCCATCATCGTTTCCCAGGTAGACCCCCAGGTAGACCCCCGTTGGCCGTAGGCCGTAGACCGCCGCCGATCCTCGGTCGATGTGGATCTTCGGAGATGCGGTCGTAGACTCTGGGATTCAAGACCTGTGCAGCGGGGCCGGGGCATTGGGATTTCACCATCCAAATCTGGGGAACAAAACTGTTGAAAGGAAAGCCAGCTTAAAATTGATTAAAATGGGGAGAGTTATGTGTCATCTTAAAAATAAAGAGTAGTGATAATGGAAGAACACGGAGTGATTATATATATATATATCATATATCTTTTGGCAAGTGAAACTATGTGAGCATAGATCAAAAATGTGTGTCTTCTCAGCTTTAAATGCAGAGAATAATGCATTATCCCATTTCCCAATCACAATCGACCAAGCTTTTGTCATTTGGGACACCAACAAACAGATCGAATACATGTCTTCAAGGTTTCTGGACAGTCAAAGACGACTCCATCTGATCCATTGAAATTTCCCTACTGGTTTTTCTTAAGGGGATACAATGGGATGGGATACCCTCTGGTAATTTACAGTCACAGTTTGCTATGGAAGCCATATCCCATTTAGTTTAATGATTTACAGTACCATTTCTCAAACGGGCACAGATCACAAAGGTTAGTTATATCACTATTATCTTCTCTCTTGATCCATTTATATATCCCCTTGTTAATCAGCATTGTTCCCTATTCTTTGATAGTTATTTGATGCTTATTTCATGATATAACATCCCATCATCCATCAAAATGCCGTTCTGACAATTGTTTATCTTCAAATCACTTGAAAAATCACAAATCAAAAAGGGATCCCCATCTATTCAAAATGAACATCAAAAAGGGCTGCAGATGATGTTTCCATCCTATCATTTTCTGTTCTTGGCACCTCCAAGGTGGTATCCATGACTGTGAGGCCACTGTCCTTGCTGCGCGTGTCAGCCGTGTCAGCGATGTGCGAAGCTTTTGACCCAAGAAATGGGGTGGTCTTAAGGCTTAGGAAGATGCTTTTCGAGTTTGAGAAACTGGAGATTCTACCACCCAATTGCAGGCTTCATCAACCAAAATTGAGAGTTTACCATCAAAAAGCACCAAAACTAGGGATAAATATCTAGATAGATAACAATGAAGAATATCAAGAATGGAGATTTAACCACACTTATGAACACAAAAACATATATTTCATAATATTTCACCAACAAGAGTGAGGCTGTAAGGGGTGACAAAAAAAAACATCGAACAAGAGGCATGACCAGCTTGCCCAGCAAAAATGTCTGTTTTGTTGCAGGGAAAAAATATGTTTTGGTTTAAATACCAATAAGAGGTTACACTAGAGGTTACAATCTGATAATAATAGTTACATAATTAGTGGTAATCAATGTCTGATATAACTCAGGTAGAGGTTACAATCTGCACCCCAGTTCTCATGCAAAATCTAGCAGAAACTGATGATTGGTTGCTGATATGCCCATGGAAAAAAGCGTCCCCAGGAGCCCGCACCAGCATGTAGAAGTCATCCGTGCTGCTGACGCATCCAGGATAAGAACCTCCGGGAGGCCATCGATCCCTTTTTTGAGTGATGGGATTGGGAGTTATAGAAGTGGATTATCGGTTATATGAAAAACCACTATAAATCTATCACCTATAATAGATAACTATAACCCACACCTATAATAGATAGTTATTGACTAACATAGCCGCATAGCTATTGAAAATGGCCCATTTAGTTCGTTGATTTACTGGACCTGTTAAAGATTGTGATTGTCCATAGCTATGTTAGTTTACCAGAGGGCATAGGTTATAGGCCACTTTCTAACATTACCATACATTGCCAAAAATCTTTAGATACGTGAATGTACGCGCAACATGTATATCAACGTATGTATATAGTAACCCTGAAAAACGGTTCTATCTATTTGGGAATGATGTTTATATACATACAATGGGGATATTAAAAAAAAAAAAAACTAGACTATTCCGTTATGCAGATACCGATCTGACATTCTTCTGACATTCTTATTGTCCCATGTCTGGAAGCAAATTGTTCCTTTTGGTGCTAAAGAGAATCCTCTGGATAAATGGGGGCTTCCATACATGGGGTACCCCAAAATGGATGGCTTAGCATTTATAATGGAAAATCCCAATCTACAATGGATGATTTAGGGCTACCCCCATGACTCAGGAAACCTCCTTGAGATGCCGGGCTCCCACCCATGGATTCTTCAGTCTCGCTTGGGGATCATCTCACCGTTGCAGTGAAAAGCGTGTCATGCCCGTAGGTTTTTTGACCCAATAAGAAACATGGGAGAAGCCAACTTAGAGCCCGATGTTTATTGATGTTATTGATGTAAAAATTCGCCTGCCATCCCGATTGCGGCTGGAAACCTATGGATTTCACGTTTCACTTTTTGTGGCTAACCGTATTTCATAAAACACTTCCCCAAACAAAAAATGTGAAGTTTATGCATGTATCAAAATTTATCAAATTGTCATATCATTTTCCATCACGGATGAACTTTTAACCAATAAGAATCTCCATCGCCTTCACCAATAACCGTTGACCGCTGATGGCCACCAGGGCCACTGCCAAGCGACTCAAGGCAATCAGGTGGCTACTCTGAAAAGACAAGGGCAGATGGAAGTTGTAGTACCTGCCAGTGCTTTCTGAACAGAGAGCCCCACAGATTTATGAGAAATTGATGTCTGTACTGCGCCTGTTCTTTTTGTGAAGTTGATGGAACCCTGAAATGGAACTGGTATATATAATGTGGCAAACCCAATGATCACATCCAGTCGATTTACCCAGTGACCATGTTGCCATTGCCGCGGCTCACTTGAAAACTCGCGTCATCTTGCTGTAGTCACTCCTGTGGCTCGAGAGTATGACGAGGATATCTGAAATACTACATCTTGTCCAAAAGTGTAAGCATATCAAAATTTAGTCTGTTCATATTTTTTCCACGGAAACCACATTCCTTCATACCTCCTTCCCAATCAATTGCTGAGTTTTGGGGTCTGAAACAAACAGACAGCAGTCTCCGATGAGTTGTGCTTCGCTACCAAGTTGCTGGGTGGTTTCAACCAAGAACTCTAACAGTTTGCCATTGAAAGTGGCTATGGAAACATCAGTGAATCGGTAAATCCTACTGCTTTATTGTCACCGGCTATGTTGAAAAAAAAAAAACCGAGGGTACAACGTCCCAGGTAGAAAAAGAAGCACAGAAAAGAAAGATTCAAGGCTACCAGCTACTGGCTCAAAGGTGGCATCGCTGCACAGGAAAGACATTTAGACAAGCTCTATGTAATCCTGCTTGATGCTATGCAATTGGTTTTACCCTCTGGCAAACTAACATAACTATTGAAAATTGCCATTTATAGTGGATTTACCCATGAAAAATTGTGATTTTCCATAGCTATGTTAGTTTACCAGAGGGTAAATGCCTAGAAATGCATAAAATCACCATCCTTAGAAACAGTAAATCATCGAACCGACTGGGCTATGTGCCGTTGGTAAATGGGCGGCATCCCTGTAATCACTTGAATTATGGTTTCTGGCAACTGATAATCCCCAAATAAATATATATATATATATATATACAGTATATATTGAACATATTATATGATATAATATGTCATATAATAATATATTTATATTATTATATTCTTATATTATTATATTATTATATTATTATATTATTATATTATTATATTATTATATTATTATGTTATATTATTATTATATTATTATATTATTATATTATTATATTATTATATTATTATATTATTATGTTATATTATTATTATATTATTATATTACTATATTACTATATTATTATATTATTATATTATATTATTATATTATTATATTATTATATTATTATATTATTTATTATATTCTTATATTATTATATTATTATATTATTATATTATTATATTATATTATTATATTATTATATTATCATAGTATTCCATTATTACATTATTATATTATATATTATAATCATCTATTTTATGTTAATATAGTGTATATTATAATATTATTTATCATTGTATTATATTATATTATTATAGTATGTTAAAGTATATTATATTATATATTATTATATTATTATATTATTACATCATAATATTATATATTATACTCATCTACTTTATATTAATATATTGTATATTATGATATTATTGATTATTGTATTATATATTATATATTACTATATTATATATTATATATGTATATCATAATATATATATATATTATATATATGTATAATCATGTAGGTTCATAATTTTTAATCAGCCAGGCCCAAGTCACCAGGTGGTGTGGCCCACCAAAAGCTCGCCATTGGACGGGGCGAGGCGCACCTCCAAGCGAAATGGATCATGATTTCCACGGCAAACGGTTGGTTTATTGGAGGGCAAATTATAGATATATATATATATATACTGTATATGTATAATATGTGTGTATATATAAATATATGTTATATATATATAGATTGGAGGGTATGTATGTGTATGTGATTCTAAGTGGATGTCATATAATTAAATTAATGTGATTAGAGATGATATAAAATGATCCGCAATTATATTAATTATATACACATATGGGAATAGATGAAAACGTCAACTCACAATTTCCTGTTGGTTATATGCAGTCGAATATGAATATATATATATATATGGATTTGCCTCCCCAAAATCCAGCAATTAGCGCCTATACTCCATTTCTGGACAAACTTATATTATAGGGAATGGGTCAAAACCGTCAAAACCCCAGTACCTGGGTGAACACAACACAAATCAATCTTCATCCTGATTCTGGGTGTTGTGGTTGACGCATTCCCAACCCCAAAAAACCGATCATTCGACAGCCAGATGCCATTGTGTCGAAATATTAGGACCAAAAAGCCTGACAATTTCCGTAGCGAAAAATTGCCGAAACCTTTTTTTGACCGAGGGAAAAAAACATGTCAGACCCAAACCTCCATGGTAGCCATCACCAGAAAATTCACCCATATTTCAGACTCGGACTTTACTAAAATCATCTACAGTAAAATCATGTAAAATCATCAAAACTCATCTAGATTCTGGTAAACTAAGATAACTATTGAAAATGGCCATAGAAATAGTGGATTTACCCAGCTAAAAAATGGTGGATCTTTCGAGTTCGTTATGTAACAAATTACCAGAGGGTAGACTCTACACTCATCCAAAATCAGCATCCTTTTGGGGGCTCTATAGCTGTCGATCCAAGCAGTTTTTTCGTAACCCCGGCCAGCGCAGAGCAATGCCCTCGTTTCGCCAGGCGCAGCTTCTCGTCCTCGGTTGTGGAGAAGTGGAGGGGTTAACAGAAAAATAATGGCAATTACGGTATATTTTCCTAGAGGTTATACCATTATATACTAATATTGCCATTAGAGAAAATAACCATTATACCATAATATATGGCAAGACATATTTTCTCTAATACCATTATATACATATTTTCCTAGTATGGTTATATTATGGTATATTTTCTCTAGAAACAGCTGTCCTTACAGGGGGGTTGACCCCCCTGAAATCCTGAGGAAAACTGGTACGAGGATATGGTTATATAGTTGATTTACCTCTGAAATGGTGATATGTTCCATAGCTATGTTGGTTTACTAGAGGGTTTATCCCATTTTTCTTGGTTAAATGCCACGAATGTGGGTAAAACAATGTCATAAACCATCCATGACTGGGAATGGTTTATATATCCCACCTATAAAAATGGTGATGACTGGGGGATGATTTATGGCATTGTTTTACCAGCATTAATGGGAATCCAATACCCTCCTGTATATATAATCAGCTCCATGGCTTGCTGGATTTTCTCCACCATTTAGTTCGTTGATTTTCCCGAAAAAGTACCTCGAACCCGAACCCCAGTGAGAACCTAAAAATTTGGAGGTGTTCAGCCAAAAAACGGGCCGCTAACAAACAAAAATAGAGGTCATGTATGGTCATTTGTGTTCCAGGTATGTATATATATATACATGTATATATATATATATACATATATACATTGATGTTATAACATGTTATAACTAAATCAACTGCTATGATATTGAAAATTAGCTCAAATACATAGCCAGAACAAGCCCTATGATGCTCCCCTGCTGCAGTTGCGTCAACTATCACGCCCTCAAAAACCATTCTAAATCGGGGATCAAGACACGTATTTGGAACCGTTTAGCTGGTTGGTGGTATACCTACCCCTCTGAAAAATATGAGTTCGTCAGATTGGAGCATCCCAACTATTGGGGAAAATAAACTTCATGTTCCAAACCATCAACCAGTAATCCATTATTAACCATTATTAACCATTATTAACCATTATTAACCATTATTAACCATTATTAACCATTATTAACCATTATCCAGTGATCAAAGCACATCAAATCCACGCTGGCGAAAGCGCGCCGGCTGTTTGGGTTCCCTGGCCCGGTCCACTTCCACAGGGATGGAATTCTCGCCCTTCCTCTGGGACTCCTGGGTCGAATTTGGGTCCAACGTGCAGAAGGGACAGGTTCCGTGGCCATGGACAATCTGAGAACACATGAAGTGTCGAAGTTCTTGTACCATGACTTGAGGTCAATATGTTCATATATCATCATATATTTTCATGTGTTTCCTTGTTGTAGATGTTACTTTTTCTGGTGTTTCCTTCAGCAGTTCCTCCTTGAGGTCCATCTGTAGGAAGACCTTCTTCTTCCCCTGCCGAGAAAAAATCCCACCCGTTCACCATGGATAAATCCCCTGAAGTTAGTGGTTGAAGAAAAAAAACATTAGAAAGATAAAGTGAAAATGTCCCATGGAAATAAATCCATGGAAATCCCACGGAATGTTCATTGAATCCATGGAAATCCTGTAGAAAAATCACCCATGGAAAATCCCATTGACCACCGACAGTTCCAGTTTTTTTCCTGCGCCTGAGACAATTCTCCTGGCGTGGGGTGAGAAGCCAAAAGTGCCACAAGTGCTAGGGCCTACCTGGTAGTAATCATCACAGGTAACAGTACTGGTTGGTGGTATACCTACCCCTCTGAAAAATATGAGTTCGTCACTTGGGATGATGACATTCCCAACTGAATGGAAAAATAAAAGTCTTGTTCCAAACCACCAACCAGCAGTAGTAACGATTATAATAGAGAATGAGAAGTATCATCACGGTCATGGTCGATTTCTCAATCTTCATTGTCGTCCCAGGCAATGATAAAAAAAGCAATGCGTTGCCAACAATTGGCTACTTAAGAATGGCATCACATAGATAGAAAAAGAAACACAAGTTTGATGATGTATTCATTGACCATCCCAATATTATGATTATAGCAAATCAATGCAAATCAATAGTATATCGGACATATTCCAGGATTATCAATGTTCTGTCACCAATTGATCAAAACCGTGCGGATCCCAGATGAATAAATCAATAAATCACCATTTATATCATACAATCAAATGTATATATATATATATACATAGGTTTGGGTAAATTACAATAATTCGCTATATAACCTGAAATAAGGTTATTTGGGGATAATTCCCCTTACAATTCCAATCATTCCAGTAAGGGAGAACAGTGAGTGAGGTCGTTATAATATTATATAATATATATAATATATAGTATAATGTAATGTAATATAATATATATAATATAATACAATGCAATATAATACAGTTTAATATTATATTGCTTTATATTTTATTATAGTTTCTATATTATATTACATCACATTATGTTATATTCTAGTGTTTTCTGTTGTATTCTATTCTATTATATTCTATTATATCATATTATATCATATTATATTATATTATAGTACATTACATTATATTATAGTACATTACATTATATTATAGTACATTACATTGTATTATATAGATATATACGTATATATATATATCCACATCATTACTGATTATGATAATATTATATTCCCCCATTTAAAAAAAAATACCTTCTCATCCTGCGCGTGCCGCAGTGGCTTCTGGGCTGTAGGCCTGGGGCGTGCCACAGATGCCAAGTCGTGGTCCCAATCTGAAACGATTCACCAATGACAATGTTTGTTTAATCCATGGATGCTTTCCGGCTGTCGGAAAAATATTTTGACCCCGGAACATGAATGTCAATTCAGATCATTATTTCAATTTAAGGCTCATCAGTCTACAACCCGCTGCAAAGATCAAGACCAGGATGGTAGTTGGAACAGCAAAAACCTTGGAAAAATCGACTTGGTGAACTGACATCTACTGTGTTAAACCCAAGAATCAACCAGCAAAAGGTGCTAATCTAAGCCCCAAATCGATCCAAATGGTCTGTTGATTCTTGGGTTAACACACCTGCCTAAGAAAGTTGTTTCTTGCCATGTGATAAATGCGCAAGCTTTTGGAACTTCAAGAATTCCATGGATTTCGGCAGCAAAATAGCAGTTCCAAGTAACTTGATGTCATGTTCCACCGATTATATTGTGATAAACCGAGCTGTGTTCGATAAACTTCACATCCTTTCCCTCTGGTAATGTCACATAGCTATAGACAATCATTATCTTTCGAAGGTAAATCATTCGCGGAGGGTAAACTCTACATGGATGGAAAAACTGTCGATGGTAAACAATGGGATTGTTGGGGGTTCAAACATCCTTTCCGTGGTTTCAACCATTGTTTGTCGGAAAGCTCTCTGGCCCATCCTTTCGGTTTTTCCATCCAAATGAATAATCCTAGTTAAGTGAGTCCCCCAAGTGGGGTATCCCATTTATTGAAAAAAAACATATGACTATGACTGGTTGGTGGTTTCAACCTACCCCTCTGAAAAATATTTATAAGTCAGTCGTCAGTTGGGATGATGACATTCCATTCCCAAGTGTTTCTGGAAAGTCATAATCCAGTCATGGCAACCAGTCACCACCAATCAGCAGTAGTTTTACTCACCAGTTCCTTAAGGATGATCATCCGGGTCGTCATTGAGATTGCATCAAAAACTGGAACGGAAAAAAGTCAATGCAGCTTTTGAATCAACCAATTGGTTGATTCAAAAGCTGGATCCATGACTACTTTTGTGGATCACTGATGCATAAAAACTTTGTGGATCAACAAATTTTGGGCCATCTTCAGCAATGCTTCCCTGAGCCCAAACTGAAAATCCTGCGAGGACGAAAAAGGCCACCTGCATCATTTCGCCCAGCTCAGCATGGGAGTTGATGAAGAACATGTCTACCATGTCGATGGTGCTGACGCCCTGATAGGACACAGAACCGAATATGTGACATGATGTTAAGTTATTTTATTGTATGTTATGTGATGTTCCCTTATCTTATCTTATCTAATCGATTTATCTATGTGTGTGTTTATTTATTCATTCATTCAGTTATCTATTTATGATTGTCATGAGGTTACTTGTACTATAAATTCATGTGTCAGATCTCATGCACTTTTTACACATTGTAGTAACCCAGGGAAAACGGAAAAGGATGCCGAAGTGCTCTTCCAGGATGGTCGTTCGATGATGCCCACAGGCTTGGTCAGCAAGTTGACTTACCATCCCTCAGCTACCAAAAATATCTAACTGTTATTTTACTAAATTATGCTTGATAACAAGACTTATATAATAGAATCATTGGTATTTAATTTGATAATGTCAATATCAATTGAATGTTGATTCTGGAAGAAATGAAGATCAATCCAATTCAGTCCATATTTTTCAGTCATTGGATGATGGGAAAATTGGAACCGGAAAGCCCGATCAATTTGATGGTAAAAACCCATGGGTTTCCGGTGAAGATTTTCCCAACTAAACCAATCCATTGATTGATAGATCTTATTGCCATGATCTCTCATTATATTGCCATCCTATGGCCATGTTTCTCGTTCAATCCGCGGGTCCACGGCTCCTTCTCTTGCGCCACAACGTTGTAGGCATCCTGGCGCGCGATGTCCAGGCGTAGCTGCGTAGCTATGGAAAGTCACGGTTTTTCATAGGTATATTAACCATGATTAATCATCGTTAAACATTATCAATTATTAACCATTATTAACAGTTATTAACCACCATTAACCATTGTTAACCATTGTTAACCATTGTTAACCATTGTTAACCATTGTTAACCATTAACCATTGTTAACCATTGTTAACCATTGTTAACCATTGTTAACCATTGTTAACCATTGTTAACCATTGTTAACCATTGTTAACCATTGTTAACCATTGTTAACCATTGTTAACCATTGTTAACCATTGTTAACCATTGTTAACCATTGTTAACCATTGTTAACCATTGTTAACCATTGTTAACCATTGTTAACCATTGTTAACCATTGTTAACCATTGTTAACCATTGTTAACCATTGTTAACCATTGTTAACCATTGTTAACCATTGTAACCATTGTTAACCATTGTTAACCATTGTTAACCATTGTTAACCATTGTTAACCATTGTTAACCATTGTTAACCATTGTTAACCATTGTTAACCATTGTTAACCATTGTTAACCATTGTTAACCATTGTTAACCATTGTTAACCATTGTTAACCATTGTTAACCATTGTTAACCATTGTTAACCATTGTTAACCATTGTTAACCATTGTTAACCATTGTTAACCATTGTTAACCATTGTTAACCATTGTTAACCATTGTTAACCATTGTTAACCATTGTTAACCATTGTTAACCATTGTTAACCATTGTTAACCAGTGTTAACCAGTGTTAACCATTGTTAACCATTGTTAACCATTAACCATATCATGATACATCATCTATTTTCACGGGCCATGGCTTCGCGAAAGAGATGCGAAATCACCAGAGGCGATTGATAAGCGGATCTCCCAATAAGCGGATTCTGATCATCCGAACGAAATGTAGGTCTATCTCAGCTCGGAAATAACCTATATCTATATCTATATCTATATCTATATCTGTATCTATATGTATGTATATAGATGGGATTTACGATGGGATTTACCACAAATTTTTGATTATCACAGGGTAGCAACATTCCAAATTCCGGATAGGAATCAAACCCTGAAGCCTTGAAACATCTTGAAACAGCACTCAGCCACTCAGCCAGACTTGGTGCAGCTTCAACGGCTCAAACCCGACCAAACATATTCAGCATGACCCATGGAAGTTGTCACCTATAACAATTAACACAACTTCTGTTTTGATTATTAAAAAAAAAAACGTCAGTTTAACCACCAATTTCCAGTCAAATGTCAATTTTTAGGTCCAAAGATGACAGAAGTGAGACTCTGTTGATATTCAAAACTTCGAAAAACACCTCAAAAACAGCACCAACCCTCCGCGAAGCCACGCCAATTCCGCACCTTCAATCCCCACATCTGCAGGAAGAGGTAGCGCACCTGCTTCCAATATGGATCTTCCGGTTCCTCGCAGCAGCTCAGTAGAGCAATGCACTCATCTTCCATACCCCACCATCTTCCTAATTCTTCCTATCTTTCAGGACATCTATACAAACACATACCAGTCAGAATTTGAGGATCCAACATTAACAAGGCACCTAGCTTAGTGATATAGTTGGGGTTATGGGTATAACTCTAGTTGGATGATCAGTGCGGTTCTACTACCTGGTTCTATAGTGACTTCTAGACCACAAAAGTAAACTATCTGGATTAACTATATCATTCAGCCACCTAAAAAGTTCGGCAAGTTCGGGATAGTTACCCTGTCATCAAACGTGGCTTGCTGGAAAATCCACCATCTGATCATGTGGTTCGATGATTTCCCAGCTAGAAACCTCCATGTATGGTGGATTTCCCAGCTAGCCATGCTTGATTACTACTCAGCTAGTCAAAAACCTCTTGACATGTCCATATTTACCCCTGAAAGTACCATAGTTGGGTTTCTTAAAATGGGGGATCCGCAAGTCAAAAACCATGGGTTTCAATACTAAGCCATGGTCATCTGGATGACGACTGGATCTGCAACGTGGCGCCTCTCCCAGGCCGCCAGAAAGGCCGCACTGATGCATCACGTGCTGCACCTGCAAATTGAAGAGGTTCCTGGCATGGCAGCCGCGGGAAGGGACCAATTCCATGTCTAAAACCATCTACAACTGGAGTAGACACAAAACATATGGGATTAATTATGGTTATATTATGGTTGATAGAACAACATGGGACTGAGGTTGATGTCCGTATGTGTGATTTGCTTTGATGTAGATTAGCCGTCGAAAAAGGGTGGTATGCCGCAATGCCTGTATTCACCATCCTTCCAGTTACATCACAGTGACTCTCAGGCTGCACACCCTTGACTCGCCTAAGATTCGGCTCGTCACTGGGCGAAACCCCAATTTTGTAAATGTGCGTGATAAAATGAGGATGAAATGATAATGATAATGATGAACCATAAAATGTTGCTAATGGAGATTTGATATAATATATATATACGTATATATATTTACTTATATACACCCATTCACCCATTCATGGAAAAGCCATAGTTATACCCATTAAAAGTCCATTTGAAACACATTAAATCCCATTGAAGTCCACTAAAAGGAAAAACGGGTTAAAACCCATCAAAACCAATTAAAACCCATTAAAAACAAATTGAAACCTATTACAACCCATTAAAAACCAATTAAACTCATTCAAAACCATTCAAACCCTAGAACCCACAAAAAACCTATTAAGACCAGTAAAAACTTAAAAGCAATCAAAACCCGTTAAAAACCAATCCAAACCCATCCAAAACCAATTAACACTTAAAAGCCATGCAAATCTATCAAGAACCCATTGAATCCCAGTCAAAACCTATTTAAAATAGATTAAAATAACTCAAAAAAACATTAAAACCTTACCCTCTGGTAAATAAACATAGGGTATTGTTGATTTACCAACCCCTATCTGCCAGGGTCTATGTTGATTTACCAGAGGGTATTTTCAAACCAACCCCTCATTGAAGGCGTTCGTATTGTCCAACGTGACACCCACCACGCCGGTCCTGATGTTCAGCAGGGCTCTGGAAGAGTCCTGGCCCGTTTTTTTGCCAACTTCGGGGCCTTGTTTGGAGGCCCGAAAAGTGCTCAAAAAGTACCGAACATGTGGGAAATGAGATGGCAGTGTGTCAAAACCTTGTACCCCTGGTGAACATCAAAATAGCTGGTAAATGGATGTTCATCCCACTAAAAATGGTATTCATAGGTATTGACCCATACCCAGATGAGTGATGTATCATACATCAACCACTACTTGGGAGGTGCACTTGGGAGTTTTTGAACATGATTGAAACTCGCCGCAAAAGGTGGGATATGATATGGGGCCCCCATAACTATGGAACTATGTATAACTAATCATTAGTCGAACTGCACCCAGTAAATCATCCAAGGTGTTTTTCCGCGTAATTTGTGGGTACCCCATTTTGACCCATTCGCAAATCGCAAACGCGATTGTGCACTCGAAAGTGGACAGTGGATGATGGGATGATGGGATGATGGGACAGCTGATACCATGGTTTTTAACCGTAAAACTGTCCGATTTTTCCCATCATCCGATCCTGGGAACTGCTGATTGAAACCAGGATTGGTTGGACCTACTGCACATGCTCCGGCTTGGGTCAAGTTACTCCCGCCGTTCATATTCAAAGGCCTCCCAAGAAACTCGTGTCTATCATAGGGGATGAAAATCACATATGACTGGGAGCATTTCGGGGAATGTTTAACCTCATCGAGGGAATGATTGGACAGTCACTGGGCTGGAGAAATGCTGGAGATCGGCCTCATCCGGCTGGAGCAGCGGATAGAAGTTGCTGTAGAACCTGCTTCTGCTACAAGGGCGGGCCCCCTGTGTTTGTTGACTTATAAACCAGTGAACAGTATAATTATATAAGTAATGTATAAGTTATATATCTAGTACAAGCCATAGTTCACCTAGTAAAGAAACTTCGCTGTCCGTTGCATGCGAGGATCCCATTGGTCTGAAAATGGGGATGCCAGCGATGTCGCGATGCCCATAAAAATCAATTATATAGTTTCTAACTACAGGAATAACCATCAAATAATAGTAATTAAGTTGATCATAGGTTACAAATTATAACTATATAGTTTAATGATGTTTAATGATGATTCACCATCAACAAATTAGGGATACCATGGGCCCCTTTTGTAAAACAAGCCCGCCACAATCATGACAATGAAAACAATCTACTTGGCCTCCAACTAGAGCCGCGTGATTTCAAGGCAAGCATTCACAATCACGCCCGTCGTTCCACACGGCGGGGTCCCCGCTGTCATTCCATGCTGGTTGGTGAAGAACGGGATTTCCCTATTGCATGAGAATCCCCAATATATTGGCTAGTCTAAACCCCCCGCATCAACCAACAGGAGGCGTTGAACCTGCCATTGAACCTGCCATTCAGTCTCATCGCTGCTCATAGCTGTTGCATCTAAAATTCTCTTGCATTCTAGAAGTGGACGTGACTGAAATAGGGTACACCCCAAAAATTAACATTTCAATAGGAAGAATCATGATGAACCTTGGATTTTGGGGTGGTGTTTCAGACACATCCATATCATCTTTAGGTTCCCAGTCGTTGCTGTCTCTTCAAGTGACTAGGTCCTGACTAGGGATATAACCCACATATGACTGCGATCCCGAACCATACCCAAATCCACATGTTGCAAAATTCGGATATATTCTGTGTATATGTGTACAGGATCTGTATATATATATATACACACGTAATTAATATATTTTTTGTTTTGATATAGATTATATGATATAATCATGTGTATGTATGCTCTATCTAATGTCTATGTATATACTCCAGGATTATATTCTATTTACAGTACTGTATATTCTATTGATGATGGGGTCCTTTATTTATTCTACCCCCCCCATTTCTGCTGCCACCAGGCCCATATTTTTCGCCAGGGGACTGCGACATCCGCTCAGCCGACAGGAGGCCTTCCAGCAACCTGAATTTTGGAGCCCGGAAAAAATCCCCACCCGACTGAATCTTTCGAATCTTTCGAGGCCAGACGAAACATCGATTTCCTAGCAACAAACATGGTGGTTTAATCAGTTTAATCGTTGAAGCAACCAAAAATCTGTGTGTTCACCCACAAAAATGGTGAGTTAACCCATACTTTGGGGGCGCAAAAAGCATCTGGGATCAGTGGGTACTGATCAATCTGAGGGTATGGTTGAAGCAACAAGAAATGGCAGTTAACCAACAAGAAATGTGTCTTTAACTAACAAAAATGTGGATTTGATGACTCGCATTTCCCGGGAATTTATGTTAATTATTGATGATAACTATCTGGAGAAATCAAAATGAGAAGCGTCAACATGGGGTATAGTGGAAATATAGTACACGTAATTAGCAAGATCTGGATATAGATTTGCCTAAGGCTAAGGGCACGATAAATGTATATATATATATACTGTATATATATAACATGTATCATGTATGTATATATATATCACCCATTTTCAACCCACTCATGCTTGTATCACTCATAACATATATCTTGTATCACTCATGTTTGTTGGTTGTCTCTTGGTTGAAAGGCCATGTCCCGCACCCTGCGCTGTACATCTTCACATCGTTGGAGAAGAAAGCCTCATGAGGTGTTGACACCTCGGACGCGATTGCGCTCGCTGCCCGGAAAAAGTCGAGGGGTCGGTTTGTTATACCATTTGGTTATGGGTCAAAAGCCTGGTACCTAGGTACCCTAAAATTTCTGGTAAATGGATGTTTATTCCCTCAAATATGATAATACAGTAATAGGTTTATGGAGGTTGCCTGAGTCATGGGGGGTACCCCGAAATCATCCATTTTAATATGATGTTCATGGATTCAAACCATCCAGCTATTGGGGTATCCCCATTTATCGAAACCCCCATTTATGCTTCAAAAAGAACTAATGACTGCTGGGGCTTGACCCCCAAAATGAATCAACCAGTGGAAATTTAAGGGACATTTATGGCGACTTGAAGAATTGTTCACCAAAACCGTTGGAGAGTGGAAGGACTTGGAGGACTTTCCATGAATCTAAATCCTCAAAAATCTGGGGCACCAAAAAAAAGATTTTGCTACTTCTTTCCCAGGAATTTCAGCCAGAGAAATCTGGAGGATTCAGCAACAAACATGGTGAGCTCCTCGAAAAATGCTGGTATGTCATCCAGAGAAACGGTGATGGATCAATGACCCACAAAAGGAGTCTCCTGATCGAAACGGGCTATGAAGATGTAGCATTTCCATGTCTCTCAAGCATGATCAAAACAGGATGGCCATAACTCGAATATCCTGCGGAGGAAAAAACTGTACAGTAGGTTTTCATTGGGCTTGGTTTTCATGTCCCATTTTTTGTGGGGAGGAACATTTACCCCTGATTTCCCAACAAAAATCAACATACCCTCTGGTAAACGTTTACATAACTATGGAAAATCACCATGCTATTAGCTGGGTAAATCCACTATTTCTATGGCCATTTTCAATAACAAACTGTTAGTTTACCAGAGGGTATGTGAATGGGATTTCGCCATGACTTATAGTGATTTTATTACCGGTTTTACCCTCTGGTAATTTAACGTAACTATGGAAAATCACCATTTTTCATGGGAAAACTCACTATAAATGGCCATTTTCAATAGCTATTTTGACATAACCAGAGGGTAACATGTTGAAAATCACCATGTTCTCCAGAAATCTCCAGCACCGAAGGTGTTCCCCGGAAAACCATGTTCTCCACGATGTCACCGGGGATCCAAACATGGAGCTCCATCCAACCAGTCTCCTGAGGCCAGGAGCCAAAGAATTGAAGCTATGGAACTACAGCAAGGCTAACTCGTTATGGGGAATGATACTATGTATATACAGTATAACAGTGTATGTATATATATATACATATATTATTATACTGTATATACAAATATGTATATATATATATACATATGTAATTATATATATATCAATTATATATAATCATATAATATATATATATACATGTGCTGGTATAGAATTGTTAATTAACTGGGTTCATTACTTGTTCATGGTTCAATGTCTGTGATTGTATCTATGAATCTATGAATTGTCGAGAATTGAAGCGTTTTATCTGCTCAAGAATGGAAGGGAATGGCTCAACCAAGTGATTTAAGCGTCAACTTATCATCAATCAGCTATCAATCCTATCTTTCTTGGTCAAATCATCATTTTCCTATGGTTTTCCTATGGTTTTCCTATGATTTTCCAGTGGAAATGACCATGTTCCCCCCCGAAATGCGAAAGCCAAGGTTCATTCAGTCGGTCTGCCAGGTGCGCCCAAGCCGCATGGCCTGAAGGGCCTGAAGGGCCGACCTCGCCGTGAACTTCGCTTGGGAGCACCAGTTTATGGTTGAAGATTGGCCATAGCAATGGTGGATTTTCCTATCCAAAAAGGTGATTTTCCATCGTTTTTGGTATGTTTATGGTTGAAGATTGAATTGGAATTACCGTTGGGTTATTTAACGTAGCTATGGAAAATCACCATTTTGGATAGGTAAATCATCATAAATCCTCTATAAATGGACCATATTCCATAGCTATGTTCAATAGCCAGAGGGTAATTGAAAAAAATGGGATATGTGATATTAAACAATCGTTTGGGTCTGACAGATAGCTTATATACCCAACATGCTTGGTATCTTGGTGAAAAGAGGGGAAATGGTGACAAACTATTGGATTGGATGTCAGGGTGCACTATTTTCAAACAAACCCACATGAGAAATGGTCATTTGAAACGTCTCAAATGGGGATAGAATGGGTAACCAATGAAACAGAAAAATGTGTGATTCTCCATAGCAAACTATGGAATGACCATAGGGTATATTATGGCATAATTATGAGATATTGGGTACTTGGGGTTGCAGTTCCACTTTTTTAAGTGAATAAAAAAAACACATAGTTTTTTTGGGGCATCCCAACTTATGGAGGTGAACTTACCATCAATGGGCCCCCAACTGCACCCCCAAGTATGGTCAAAACATGGGACCTGGGAGTTGATTCCCGAAAGATATCTCAGATATCTTTGATTTTCCCGACTTCGATGAAGTTCCATGCATCCAGAAATCTACGGGAAACGAATGGTACGAAATATATACTCCCAATCCCTTAAGCCATCTAGCCATCTGCGGTCGGCTCGGCAGGGATAGGGGACTACTTGATATCTCATCATATCTGATTGTACAGTACCCCCCAAAAAAAAAACAAAAGGTTCAATGTTCAATTGATCAAGCATTTACAAAAAAAGCTTCGGATTGCACTATTTTTAGGCATCATAACTTGGGGACTACGAAAATGACCTATTTCAGGTATGTTTTTCTGTGTATTCTTCTGCAGAGGAGCACTGCAAAAATGGGGGTGTTTACCCCCAGGGGTCACACACACCTTTTGTCCGCCTTCACCTCATTCACCACCACGATCTGATTGGTCACATTGTCCAGCTTGGCAGCCACACCCTGTTGCGGGCTGTAGGGTGCCCCGAGGGAAATCATCCAGTCATCGATGACCATGACTTAGTATTGAAACCTGACTGGTGACGACTGCGCATCCCCCCATGACTTAAGGAAAGCTCCCAATGAAGATAGAATAATGATGTAAATGTTACTCCCTGAGTTAACCAAGCTGGGTTTATTAATCCGATGTTGGCATTATCCATTTCTGCTGCCTGCCCCTCTTGATCGCCGGATTTGTTTAAAGAAAAAGTGAGCTGACTCTTCATCTCAAAGGACGGTTTCAATCTGGCCGAGACCCTTGAAACATTCGAAACGGGCTGGTTTTCCGAAGCACCCAGGCGGCCGCAAGGACCTTGAACTTGTCGAGGTCTGTCCGCGCAAAATCCGTCTGGCGGGTTTACCAACTGGTTGCTGGTGGCATCCCCAGTTAGCCAACAGGGGATGATGATCATCTTGGGAATGGAACTGTTTTTTTTCTGGGGGGGAATCGTCAGCACGCGTGTAGTCACTACTTAGCGAAAACTACTTACCATCTGGCTATGACTAACATAGCCATGGAAAATCCACCCATATAGCTAGGTAAACCATCTATTTCTATGGGCCATCTATACCATGGCTATGTTAGTCATAGCCAGAGGGTAGTGAAAGACCCAGTACTGTAGCCAATAGCAGGCTGTCGCTTCGTCTCTCCAAACTCAAGTGACTCAAATCACAGTCGGTTTATATAAAAATAGTTGTGAGTAGTTGGAGTAATCCATTATGATACTATAGTTACTATAGTTATAGTATGTTATAGTATGTAATAGTATCATAATCCACCCCAGTTATCAGTATAGTTCCAGTCCCTCCAGTGGGAAAAAGCTCCCAGGAGAGAGCACCAGAGTTAACTTGAGAGTTTCCCATCGAAATGTCTGGATGCATGGCATAGCATGGCCAATCTTGGATACCCTGCAAAAAAGAAATTTAATCTTGAGCCGCTTGGGTTTATATGTATACACGTATATACATATAGACATGTGTATATACGTGTGTATATATATATATATATATTCACGTTACATTGCATTGCACCACATTACCTCGCATTGCGTCACATTACATCACATCACGTTACATCACATCACATATATGACATCAAAAGAACAAAAAGGATGTGTAATCAACTACCCGTCCAGCTGGCTTTATCTTGATTATATCCCATCTATCTGCTTGTTGACCCAGGAATTCAATAAGAACCTACCTGACAAGCACGTCTTTATGGGCCAGGATCCAAATTGGCCGCGACATAGCTGCACAGATCAATTTTCTGGCTTAACCTCCAAACGATTTTGATCTCTTCTGATTTCTTCTTTCATTAAAATCCTGTCCACATGTTTCCATTATATCAGGATTTATCAGGTATACTAGTTGAAAGATGTTTGGAAAAATTACTTTGTTCTTCAAAATGAACCCCTTCCAAACAAAGATCTCTAAATGTATATCAGTTGTGAGTTTCATTTAAAAAAAAAAAAAACATCTTCCAAACACAAAGATCTCTCCATCGCCGTTTCTTCCAACGCCTCCGTTCCGTAACCCGCCCGTTCCAACCCGGCTCGGCTCGGGCGCCCCACCCGGACGTTGAAGAGCGGCGCGAGGTTCGGATGGATCCCCCGGGAGGCCTGGGAAAAAAAATCATGCAATGTACATATGATATATGTATTACATATACATATATATATGTATATATATATATATATAATGATATTTGGATCTGGCAAATTTCATGTGCCATTAAAAAAAAAAACAGTGTATATATATAGAGAGAGAGAGAAAGAAATATATATACATATATAAAGATTGGTTGATCTGAAATGGTTCATGATCCATTTTTTTCATGATCCGGAATAGGATCATGTTTTTGCAAAGTACAGATGGATCGGTCATCGCAATCATAAGCCCTTCCAAGGAGCTTTAGACCGATAGTCCAGGTGCAATCCATCACTATTTCATCAGTTCCCATGATTTTCCCTGTTGAAATTCCACACCAGTTTAGTGAGGCTTGTTTGAAATTTCCAGATTCCATCTTCTTCAGGATGTTTATACCATGTTTACACATATATATATATACATATATATATATACATATATATATACATATATATATATTATACATACACATACATATACAGTATATATGTATGTGTATAACTGTATCTTTATATATATATATAACTGTAAATATTCCCATCATCTTCCCATCATATGTGAATTCCCCGCCTTGATCGCCTGGAGCGGAGCCACGAGCGCCACGAACGCCGCGGCCACCAGGAGCTTCCTGAACGGCCACCGTGGTGGGTGTAGGGAATGAAACCACGGCCATTGATGGGACCAAATTCAATGGGGCTTAATACTGTGGATGGTTGCGAAATCCTGCACCTGGATGGTTGAAAGCCTATAAACAATGGGATTTTGCCTATCAACTGGTGCAGGATTTCTCCATTTCGCAACCATCCACTGTAATGATGGGATTCAGACCCAAAGTTGGGGGTGAGATTGGATGAGGTTCCACTAGAAATGGCGTCTTTTCAGGGTCGAACTCTTTTTTTTTTACCAGAGGCGAATGGGGAGAGCCGTGAAATCATGGAATGTCATGGGAACTAGCCAACAATAGATGACGAATATAAAAAATGGGGAGAACATGTAATGGAAATCATGAAATCATATGAAATCGGCATATTCACAAGGATTAACTGCTACATACTGCTACTGAGGGAAATGCTGGCACAGGAATATTAGCCATGATTCGTTCATGTTTGATCCAAAAATTGGAAAATCGGCAAAAACATGGTGAACTGCATTGGACAAAATCTCTGGCCAGCCGCTTGCATTTTGTCATTTTGTGAATTTGTCAGCCAAGCGTCATTGCTTCATGGGTGGCTTCCGTAAAACCCCCCCTGAGCCAAAACAGGCCAGCATGCATCTGGTCCTTTTCCCTCACAGAGTGGCTGACGCATCTCAATCAAGGCGAATCTTAGAGATGCGGAAATGTATGAAATCGTGTAATTTGATTGACCATCACGTATTGATTTGCACCCAAAAAACTATGACAAGCAGGGTTTCACCGTCCACAAATCAACAAACCCTTCGGGCTTCAGCTCACTACACCATTCTTGTGTGTCCCATTGCAAGATGGAGGTTCTTCTCCGGCTGAAAAGCCGCACCAGGCCAAGACAAAGGTACAGGAACTCAGATAATGGACAATGCTTGGCAGCACTTGAAGAGATACTTGCCCAAGACGCTTCAGAAGAGGTTTTGATGACCTTGTTATCCTAAAATTGGTATACATTAGTATTTATAGGGCTATTTATACATCAAAAATCGTCTTTTTGAATGTCTTTTCCTCGCACACTACATGATGATCCACTGGATTTTTGGCGTCCCCGGCGTTTCACCGGCGAATCCATCACCGCGGCCAGACATATATATTTGGGTTTCTCTAAAAATCGGATGCCCCTAAAATCCAATGAGATATCACACATATTTATCTATTTACTATATAATCCACCATAGATATAGAATGATATCTATACATATATTATATTATATGTATATATATATATATTACTATATATATATATATTACTATATATATATTATTATATATATATATTATTATATATATATACACTGGGTATACTAAAGATACAGTATGACTTTCCTCATGCAAAGAACTATTTTGGCTTTGAAACCTGACCCTTTTTCGCCCCTTCTTCACCCTGCGCCCCTGCGGTCTTTTTCACTCCGCAGCAGAGCGGCGTGTAACTTGGTGCCGGACCAACGACTTGGGCGACCAACTGCAGTGGCTGCATCCCACAGATGAGATATCCCCCCACCTTGTGGCATGGAAGCCAGATGAAGATATCCAGATATCCAGATTTTTTGGGAGATCCATCAATTTCATTGGGGCATGGATCAATTCTGTGTTTTGGTGTGCTCACAAAACATTGATGTTTAATGATGTTTAAATGTGGAAGAATGTGGCTCATATCTGTGGCCCTGGTATCTGAAATTCGGCAAATTCGACGAACTGCTAATGATTAGTTAGGATTAATAATGCCTCCCTGTTCGTAAAGTCTATGTTTTCCTAAATTTTGGGCAATACTAAAGTCGATCAGGTGGTTTTCCACCTCCCCAATAATGGCGCGACCCCCCAATTAATCAAGCCGATCTCCGACCCCCAGATGTTCGGTGGTACTAATTTAGCATTATTCCTTTTACCTTTGATTGGGGAAATTGCTTTCTTGATTCTTCATGATTCATTTACAGTACCTTCTGCTAAACTAACATAACTATGGAAAATCACCATTTTTTATGGGTAAATCAACTATAAATGACCATTTTCAATAGCTATGTTTGTTTACCAGAGGGTAACCAAACAAAAGATGCGACGAACTCAAAAACACATCAGGTGCCTCCAAAAACCTGGTTGACCTTGCTGACCTTGGAGGGGGTGGGTATGAAAATCCAGGGGTAGCCATCATATCTGGTTGGTGGTTGACCTACCCATCTGAAAAATATGAGTTCGTCAGTTGGCATGATTATTCCCAATAATTATGTGGAAAAATAAAAAATGTTCCAAACCACCAACCAGATATAATCTGAATAGAAGAATCAACGATCACCATTGCCCCAAAAGGTTGGGTCTCTTGAGTCTCTTGTGTTCATGGAATCAAGAGCCACATGGCAGTTGGTCGTCGGCCTGTTCAGAAGCTATTCGAACGCAAATTCATCTGGCGAGCTTTGGTGGTTTGCTCAGAAAAGTTCGAAGTTATCTTCAGTTGACATGCAGGCACTAAGGGGCGAAGGGTGTCTATTTTGCAAGTATCTTCGGCATGTTTCAGAATGGTTTCTACCCTGACCATAGTTTGACCTAGAACTGACACTGAACTGGTGGATTTGGGTGGTACCCTTGACGAAACAGCGGCCAAGCGCTGGCTGCGAAGCCGGTGAATTATTTGTCACGTTGCCTCAGCACTTGGTTGTTTTGGGAGCCTGTAGTGGTTGTTCAATCATCGATTGTTTTGGGAGCCGTTGACTGGTGGGACTGGGCTCGAAACCACTTGGGAACCAGTAACATTGGGGAGCCATCTGACGTCTGCAACACTGCAGAGTGTTGCAAAGTGGGTTTGCCTCGCAGCATTCTTTTGTGATCCCCTGAAACACCTGGTGGTCGTGCATCAAATTCTGGGATCCAATCTCAGGGCTACCTGAACGAGGCCAACCCATCGCGGAACTCACGCATAGTAGTTGAAGTTGCTTTTCTTTTTGGCCTGCGGAGAACTCCCGGATCCCAAAAAACTGGTGGCAAAACGATGATCTCATCAAAGCTGCAGGGGAAACCCCCCAACACCCCCAAATTGGTGGGCAAATTCGATGGAGAAAAAGCACAAGTTCATCCCCTTGTGGCAATGATTCAGAGAGAGCAACAAAGATTGAGTTGGGTACTGTGGATTCATCTAGGTAAATCAGTCCAATTCACCAACAAAACTTGCAAGTTTATCATTTTCAAGCAGAAATCAACAATCCAAGATTGACCCATGTGAAGAAAAGTACTTCGATTTGCTGTGCAGTTCAGCCATCGTGCCACGACTCTTCAAACCCTCTCCCTTACCCTGGCTTGTCGTTGGCAATGGAAAATCACCAACTTACAGATGATGTGGCCATTGAAAACACTGTTGTCCCAGTTGCCATGACCAAAACATATTAGGAATGGTTTTTGTGGTGGATTTTTGTAAACATTGTAAACCCAACACCAAACCCCATGGTCTTTTTTGACTTGTTTGGCGAAAAAATATGTATGGTCACACCATTCCTTCCTGAATTCCACCAGTCTAATCCAACAAAAGCTCCCGTCGCCTGCACTGCAGCTATGCCCGCCACATAGTCCTGTCTTCTCAGGTCGAGCAGTCTCAATGGCCAAAGCCATTAAAACCCTCTGGTAATTTAACATAGCTATTGAAATGACCATTTATAGTGGATTTTCCCATTAAACATGGTGATTTATGTGATTTTCCATAGTTATGTTAGTTTACCAGAGGGTAAAGCCAATATAAAGCCGGGGTATATCCCCAAGATGGCGAGAGTCCGGCGGTTTACCCCAAATTTGACATGTGAAATGCACAATATTTGTTGGGTGATGGTGTTGGGTTTCCCGAATCTGAACGCACCCACCTTCACTTCAATACCGAGGTAGACTACTGTAACATAGACATGGAAACCCAGGTTTCCCAAGACATTCTCAATCCGGAAGTTTCCGTAGGGTGTTCTTGGTCTTCTGGAGGATACGTTTCCGTAAGTTGTCATGCTAACTATGAATCAAAAATGGTAATCACCAAGAGTGTAGGACAAAAATAACCTACATTTGAAACTGTAGCCACTATCCAAAGTATATGTGTCTCCCAAATAGCACAGTTGGTTCTATATCCCATTACAACATATTACAACCCCATTGTCTCCCACTATATCCCCATATATTTTGTTGGTTAAATCAATATTGTGTTTCCACAATGTATCCATTTTCCACAATTGTTTCCTTGAAGAATCGATTCCATTTTTTTTTGTCCATGAAACCATGATTAAATCAGCAAGTCGGCCATTTGCGAGAAAACATGGATCCAGTTTTCCATAGATTCTCTAGTGATTTCTCCATATTTGCTATAGATTTTACCCTGGTTCTCCCAGAAATCATTCATGTTTTCCATGGGTTTTCCCATGATTTGAAGATGTTCCATAGATTTTCTCATGTTTATTTTCCGTAGATGTTCAATAGATGTTCCCATGATTTATCCATGTCGTTCCTATATAGATGTTCCCATGATTTATCCGAATGTTTTTTCCGTAGAATTTCCCATGTTTTGCAAATGTTTTTCTATATATATATATATGTTTATATACATGTATATATAATATATGGTCCCATGATTTATCAAAGTTGTTCATAGATCTTCGCCACAACGACGCCACCTCCGCGACCGATCGCGCTCCTCGTGACAAAGCTCTGAGGCGCCGCGGCGCAAGGCCTCCATGCCCGCCTCCACACAGACGGCCTTGGCTCGTCATGGAGCTTTCCATAGTGGATCAACCTCCATCATGGTGGTGGAGGTTTATGGGTTTTCCCAGCGATATATAAATCATCCATTTAAGGAGTGCATCAACCTCCATAGTCATGGTGGTGGTGGTGGAGGTTTAATGGCTACTGAAACAACTGCTATTCATGGATTTTTTGGGGTTTCCATAAATGGTTGTTTCCATAAATGGTGGATAAATGGGTTTTCCCAGCTATATAAATAAATCATCCATTTAAGGAGTTTCCAGAAAGATCATAAATGGTGGTACCCCCCATAGCTGGATGGGTTATTTCGGGTTATTTCGTGGAAAATCCTATAATGGATGATTTAGGGGTACCCCCATTTCAGGAAACCTTTCTTGTGGGGGAAACAAAAATTACCCTCTGATACTTTAACATACCCATGGAACATCGCCAGTTTAAGAGGTAAATCATTTATAAATTGTCCATTTTCCATAGCTATGTTAAACTACCAGAGGGTATGTACTAAATGAAATGGATTAAACTATTGGATATATATATATATACATTGGATGGACTTTAAAAACAAAAACTATGTACTAAATGAAATGTTCTATATTGTGGTGATAAACATGAGTCTTGGTTTTTCGGCAGTGATAGAAACGGGTAAGTTACATCCATATGACTATACTGGGATCAGTGGAACAGTCGTTATGTACAAGAACTGTTATGGTGTATATAATGAGTCGTTTTTGCCAATGACAAAACGGGAGAATAGGACTTGCGAAAAATGAGATATGTCAGGGCAAATTGCTAATTTTATATGATTTTTTAAAAAAATGGTGATGGCAATAAAATCAAAACTTGGGCAAGATACTGGGAGACTGAAACCTGTTAATCCTCCAGCCAAACAAAGGGCGGCAGGGGTTAAACCACCCAACAACCAACAATTACTGACCCTTTAGGACTATAGCGTATGTAGTAAATCCACCTATTACTAGGCTCTATACATATTTACCTGTATATATTCAATATATTTATACATAATTATGTGTGTATGTATTGTGGGTATGGGTCAAAAGTGGGAACCCACCAAATTGCATGGCTAACACGAAAAATGTACCAACATCTGCAGTCCTCTGTGTCTTGAATTTCGACCCGTAGCCATATGGAAAACCCAATCATGAACCGTACCCCAAGAATAAAATTACCATCCGGTAATCAAACATGGCAAGGGGAAATCCATCATTTATTTATAGATGAAGTTCCTATTAAGACATCTACTTGTAGGAAATTTCCCATTGCTACGTTTGATTACCAAAGGTTGAGGGGTCTACTGTTGCTACGCAGTTTAGGTATATCTATACTTTATTGGTCAAACCTCCACTTTTGGTAAACCCCAATTCGTAGGTGGTTATGCCACGATAATGCCACTGTCTGCCATGAAATAACGCCATATGTTGTTGGTTACATCATGTTAAATAAATCCATGTTGGTTAAATTTATCCTGTTGAATCACAATTTTTGGTGATGAAGTCCCATGTTTTCTCGGCTCAATTTTTGCTGAAATCCCCATTTTTTCTGGGTGAAATCCCATCGTTTTTGGCTCCGCCGCTCAGCCGCGCACCTTCAGCTGCGCGCCGTTGAAGTCGTCCGTGGACCGCGCCAGTTCCACGAAGTTCACGTCGTCCTCGGCGAGTTCACCAAGGGAGGGCTCCCCGGCTCCATAAAACGATCCCCATCGGAGTGGGCCTTCTTGTAGTTCATCTTGCGGCTGTGAATCTGCATGATCCGGGCCCTGGAATCCTGGGAATATCATGGTGCCGGGACTTCAGGCAAATGTCATGGGGATGTCATGGGAATATCCTGGAAGAGACTAACTAGGTCATAACCAAACATGGGTATGGTTAGTTGGGGAATTCCCTTTATATACATATACATATACATATACATATACATATACATATAAATATATACATATACATATACATATACATCTACATCTACATATACATCTACATCTACATCTACATATACATACATGTACATGTACATGTACATATACATATACATCTACATCTACATATACATCTACATATACATCTACATCTACATATACATGTACATGTACATGTACATGTACATATACATATACATATACAGATACATATACATACACATTCGTCTAGGACTATGTCAAGCCTTTTCTGGGCATGTCCAAATGGAGTAGGGGATTCTCTTTGGAGAATCCAGAAAATTCTACACCTTGTGAATCATGCATTTCTTGGTACCTTGCGGCACCTTCATTGAATAGATGTGTTCTTGCAGACTTTAGGGATCCCAATATCCAACTCTGGACTCAAGAATACAAACATCTTGGAGATGTTGAAGTCCCAAAGCAAAATTACCACTACCAATTTGTGTATGCATTTTTTCCCCATTCCTTTAGCCAACCGCTGGGATTTACCTCCATCCTCACTTTGCGACGCTGCAAATCATGTCAAACCCCTAAACTGCGTATTTTTCTTAACTTGAGAAAAAACAGTTTCTTTATAATCCCTTAAGTTCATCAATCCTTAATATCAACTTTGAAAGATATGGTATCCCCACATCTCCGGATGTCGTCGGCTCACCTCATTGGGATGGGGCAGCTCGATCTTACGATCCAACCGTCCAGAGCGCAAGAGCGCCGGGTCCAAGGTATCGGGCCTGGCAAAACGCTCAGAGCTGAGAAGCTGATGGTTAGTAGGTACCCTCTGGTAAACATACAAAAAGCTATTGAAAATGATTAAATGGCCATAGAAATAGTGAGTTTTCCCATGAACAATGTTGATTTTCCATAGTTATGTTAGTTTACCAGAGGGTATATCCATTAGCATTATAGTAATACGTTTGTAAAACTAAAATAGTTGTAATAGTACTATGGTTTTTACTCATATTTGACTACTGTAAAATAATGGATACATTACGATTTTATAGTACTGTTTAGTTATATATGTTTGTTTAATGGATCATGAAATGACATTAGTGCAGTTTTTACAATAATTACTCTGCTTATCTAAAATTACTATAACTGAACTATGTAGTATTATCATAATTTTCCCTATCATTGCTAATGTTACTCTATGGTAATTTTCAAAGAATGCATTCTAGCGAAGATTGTTTGAAAAAAGTATTTTACTATCTGCTCCAGGGTGACTATTAGTATATTAAATTCTACTATAGTTCCTAATGTGGGAAACTCAATGCCATAAACAAGTACCATTTGGGGATGGTTGACAGAAACAATTTACTGTGATTTGAAGGATTTGCTATTATTGGGTGTACCACATTACTATGCGGGAATGGTGTTTCCAATTGTAAGTGGATTAAACCTACTTGCTCCGCTAGTAAAACCAAAGATATATCCTACCAACCGGTAATCAAACATGGCTGACTGGATTTGTTTTCTACAAGTGGAGATTTGTAGCTGGGAACCAGATAGTCATGCTAGGTATGCATGGGGAATGGTGGTCGTCAACAAATGAAAATCCAATCCTCACTTGTGCCACATTATGGACACAGGGTTATTTGGTTCCCCAGGCGGGGGCTCTTCCCTTCATCTCGTGGATACAAGCGGGGCTCCTTGGGTTCTGCCCTTCCCCTGTTATGCAACTGATCTCTTCATCACGAAGAGTGGCAGGTAAAATTCATAGTCTGCTTTTTCCGGGTGCAGAACTTTTATGAAATTGCGGTTGTTTGGAGCCGCGGTCAAGCAATCAGCTTGTTTCTCATGTCATGATCTCTTTAGAAATTATTTGTTCTTTCGCTTCTTTAACATGGGTTGTTTTCGTCCAGGCAATTGTTTGAGTATCGGATGGTATTTGCCATTGAACTATAGGGGGAAGGGATTGTGATCCAATTCCTCCTTGGATGCGTTTTGTTCGGGAACATCATGGGTATACCAGCCAAAATATGGTGGATTCCTCTGGATGTTTCCACAGAAATCAATCTTGAGATACGTCCGAAGGGGGAATTGCTTGAGGAATTTTATAATTGGATTTTGCATGAATATCTTTGATTGGAGTTTGTTCATGGGATTTGTTGGGAGATTTTGAGGGGTTATAATTTACAGTAATGCTTTACCATACTTTAACGACAATCTATTATGATGGATCGATGGATAGATAACAGACAGACAAACAGATAGATAGACTCAGATAGACAATGATCGATATGGGCTCTAAGATGGGGTACAGTACCAATTGACCCGCTGGTCTTTCAGCTCTAAGCTATCCAAGTCTTAGCTGACCCACAATGATCCACTGACAAACAATCTCCACAATCTCCAAACGTTCCCAGACTGCACAGAAGGGTTCTCAAAAAACAGGTCTGGCCAGCAACCAAGATCAGGATTCAAAGCATAAGATAAAGCCAGGTAAAGTCAATGCCATTTATGCCATGTTGGTGATATCCCATCATAATCCCAGAAAATGATCCATAAAATGATCCCATAAAATGATCAGGATTCCCAGAAAATCACCAGCTTTTTTAGGGATTCCAGCCATCTCCAGTCATGGTAGTTGTTCATTTGTGGCTCAGGCTTGCCCCGTGATATGGCTATGGGTCAAAACCCTGGTACCCTGTTCACACCCAAATAGCTGGTATATAGATCTTCATGATCTTCATCCAAAAGAATGCACTCTAGCTTCTGTTTCATCTTGAGATACCAATATACAATCCAAAAAACCATCTACCAGCCGGATTCTTCCCATGCCCCATGGTATGTTGAGTCCCTTCCCTTCCGCCCCGGGCGCCTGTTGGTGGCCGCGATGATCTTCACGGTGGTCTGGTTGGTGAAGCCATCGAGCTGATTCAACAGCTCCAGCATGGTCCGCTGAACCTCCCGGACGCCTGGGAAACGCTGGCGAGATCCATGGGATAGAGCAAGTGACTTCAAGGCCTAGAAAAAAGGCTTCAAAATGGTTATAAATGGTTGTAAATTGTTATGAATTACTATAAATGGTTTTAGATGGATGTAAATGGTTGTAAATGGTTGTAAAGGGTTATTAATGGTTATAAATCGGGGTATCATTCCATAAATGGGGTTCTAACTGACTTATAACTGGTAAAGGGCCACAACTGTGGGAAAATCTATGGAAAGTCGATGGCAAAATATGGAAACATCGGGTCTTCTGGGGTTAGGAACAAAATACTGGTTGGTGGCTCTGCTCGATGATCTGAGGTCAATCTCCACCGATGGCAGGAGAGGACATTGCCGACTGGCTCCCACAAGGTGTGTCGCTTATTCAACCATCACTAGAGGTGGGCTATCCAAATGACTTGACTGATGTTTTTCTGCTTTTCCTCATTCTTGCCTACACCTTTTAAACATATCATTAGTGTCATATAGTCAGTAGACAACAGCCCTTGTGATGCGTCGCCCCAACTGAAGCAATCCACCCAGTGATCTACCAGCTTGTGCTACTTCAAGAATGGCGTTGTCCGACATTTGGTGATTCGGTTTGATGATTTGTGGATCATCTCAACTAGGGTGATTTCTTTGAAAGCACCAACCAGCATTTCAGGGTCGAGTGGTTTGAAGTACCCTCTGGTTATGACTAACATAGCCATGGAAAATCACCATTTTTAATAGGTAAATCATCTATAAATTGACCATGTTCCATGGCTATGTTAAATAACCAGAGGGTAACTCAAAATTCAAACCTTTTTGCTTCGGTACTTCATCCTGAAGTACGAATGACCAGTTGTAGAAACTGGGTGTTTAACGGGAAGCATGTGGCGCTGTAGGTCATTGTTAAGCATTGAAAAATTCCGTCATTTGGGACTTTGTCAATGGACTTACCTGCCCCATCCAATGGTTCATCATGGTTCATCATCATATTCCCATTGGAAAAATTGGAAAATCTCTGTGGCTTCATCTCAAACTAGGGTCCCCCACAAGCCCCAACCTTTTCTCAGCAATTTTCTTCAATGAAATGGCCACATGGTAAAAGGTGATTTCTTGAAATGGAGGTTCTGGGGAAAGATGTGCTGCAAGGCTCCAGGCGGAAAGTATGCTCAATTTCGAAAAGTCGAAAAACGAAAAATCGAAAAGTGGAAAGATGTCTTTGTGAATTTCGAAAGTCGAAAAGTTGAAAAGTATACTTTTTGACTTTTCACTTTTTGACTGTTTGAATTTTTGCCGGATGCCTTTCCAGCTGAACATACCCAGCTAAAAGTACAAAACTTAAACCGTTGAGAGTCGAGAGGGAAGAAGAAAAGCCGAAAAGTCGAAAAGGTGAGAGGGAAGAAGAAAAGTCGAAAAGTCAAAAAGTATACTTTTTGACTTTTCACTTTTTGAATTTTTGCCGGATGCCTTTCCAGCCGAACATGCGCAGCTCTTTTTTCCAGCTTAGGGATCCCCAAGTCACCATAGCTTTCAATACTAAGATGGTCTATCCTATACATAATATATATATATATATACATGTAATTTTGAGTGATTTGGCCTCATGACTTCGGAAACCTCCAAATGGGTGTGTCTGAAAATATAGTATACCCCCAAATAGCTATTTTGATAGGGAAAATGATGATAATCCAGTGGATTGAGGGGTACACTATTTTCAGACAAACCCAAATCATGGAAAATCATCCCTCATTGTCGCACCAAAAACCTCACAGCGCTCCCCCGCCCACCGCTGCACCGCCTGACAGCTCTCCTCCGCCCGAGCGCTTTTGACCGATGGCATCGAGCTCGTCGATGAAGATGATGGAAGGCGCCTGTGAAAAAGTTTGGCCGGGTCAACGGAGGCTGTTTTTTTTATCTGGAAAAAAGGGGAAGTGTACCAACCATGAAATGAACCAGAAAAATGTTGATTTAACCAACGAGAAAAAATGTTGATTTCTGGTTGAAAGTTCTTTTGCACCATGAAGAAATGTTGATTTGAGCAACCAGAAATTACATTTGGACCAGAAAACGATGGTAATTGCACCAAGTGAACAAGAAATGTCCGACTGAAACTAGGATCTCAAGCAATGAAGCTTCACCATGAACCGATGGGAAGATCAGTATCAGCCGCTTGGATTTTGTGGGACGTAGTGGTATATACTGATGCCATCCTCAAATGTTTGAGTCAATGGTTTGGTTTGTGAAGGAAAATCGACGGGAGAGTCATGTTCTTCTCTTACATGGAAGAAAATTCTGCATATAAATGTTCCCTTCAACCAATTCTGGGACTCCTCGAAATCTAAGGAAATCTCAGGGTACCCCCCACGTCTTTTGTTTTTTGAGGTATTCACCATCATCCACCCAAACAATAGGGGCTTATTGAAACCCTATCGATGTGGGGTACCTTTAGGGGATACACTTAAAGTAGATTTGCATGATGGATCGTTTCAAATAAACAGGAGGCCACTTTAAACAGCCACAGCGTGGCTCTAGGCCAGCTCAGTTAACCCTCAAAAAATCAAGAGGGTTTGTTGATTCAGGGTTGACAGACATTCTACATACAATAGACATAGATATGAATCACACTGGATGCCATGCGAAAAAAACGCCAAGTCCAGAAATAAAACAATCAATATACTTACCTACCCACCTACCTCCCTCCCTGCCTACCTACCTGGTTACCTAGCCCTCTGCAGAAACAATTGCCAGGCACCTTCTCCTTCGCCAGAACAAAGGCGTCGCGCACAATCTTGGCACCATCACCTGATGGTTCCAGTCGCTAAACCCCTGGGTTTTTGAGGGGTGCCACAAGGGTCGCAAATTATCTCCAGGGGTTGAAAAACCTAAAAATGTATTCTCTTCCTCTGCAAGAATATACACATGCAGGGATTTGGATCTTGTCATGTTGGTCATTCCAATGGGCTTCCAAGGAACAGTTGGACATTTTTTCTGCTGGATTTCCATAACCCCTCAAGCGTCCGATACATTGGAATGAGTATTCAGAACAAAGAAATGAAAAAGACATCAACCATAGACTAAGTTCGCGTGGCCAAACAACAATAACAAATTTGGAGGAACCACTGTCCTCAGCATCAAGAAAACTCTCGCCCGTTGCGGTTTCCATAGCTGTACCTTTTGAATTTATGGTCTCAAAAGGGGCCATACCCCAATTTCTGGCCATGTGACAGTGCGTGATGTTGCAGATGTTTGTAGAAAAAAAATGCGGAACCTATGTCTTGATTCTCATCGCACCAAGGGGTGATTTCTACACCGTTTCCCGGCCAAGGAGCCAATGAACATCTGCACCAATTGAGGACCAGCCTATGCACACTATGCACCGCTCAACACCGACAACAAGAAAACCAAGGACAGTGTACATATATATATATATATGATACACTATGTATATATTATACAGTATGTATATCGTGAATATCAACCAAAGCAAACGATCGGCGTGACACTTTACCATAGAGTAAATGGGTCAGAAAATGGGGCATACCCCCGAACGGCTACTGTTCTTGAGAATTGCCCAAAAGCCGTAGATCCTCGAGGAGCCGCAAATGAATCAAATTGAATCAACCAGGCACAAAAATCTCCCCAATTCGACGGTCAAATGGTTACCCTGGGGTAAGACTAACATAGATGTTGGAAAATGTCGCATTTATAGATGATTCATGATTACCTATCAAAAATGGGGGTGATAGGCTAGTGATGTAGTTGGCAGACTCGTCTTGCGGCTCCAAGTGGCTGCCCATTTCCAAAAGAATATGGATACCGCTCCGAACCGTTCACCCAAACGGAAGTGTTCATAAAATGCCCCCCCCATTTTACCACGGCTTTACCGAGTTTTACAACAAGTTATCCTAGTTTTGATTTTGGATTCACAACAGACATGCCCGACATGCCCGACATGCCCCATTTTTTAAGAACCAACTGCAGTCCAAGCACTGTATAAGAATTCCTTCTATAAGAAATTGAGGGGCTGGATTTTTTTGCCGCAAATATGTTTTGTGGAATATGTATGCAAGTGGAAGTTAAGAAATGAGGGGCCCTGGAATTTTTAAGGCTAAGAAAATTAGATGTATGTGAAGGAGCCCCTTTGCGCCAGTGCTAAATTTTCTTAACCATGAAATATCATGAAATTGCTTATAAAGATTCTATTCGGAGCGGGAAATGGAGCCAGCCTCCCTTGCAACCAAATACCCGCCAAAATGAACTTTGCACAGCCATGGCATGGTTGGGAAAAAACCGGACCAACCTAAGGTCGAGCCACTACACAGCCACGAAGCCTGTAACCAACAGCTTCAGCCAGATACCAGCCAGACTCACTGCAGGTCATCTGTACCCTTAGCTCGTGTTGCCTTGCCTTGCCTTGCCTTGCCTCTGCTGCCTTGCCTGTGCTGCCTTGTTGCCACTGGGTAAAGGGTTCAATTCAATACATAACTGAGAAATCCAGCCCCTCAATTTCTTAACCATGTAAGGGTTTATAAGAGCCTTGAGACGTCACCGGGTAAGGGTTCAATTCAATACATAACTAAGAAATCCAGCCCCTCAATTTCTTAATCATGTAAAGGTTGGTAAGAGCTTTCTGCAGAGGAGACTGGGTAACTGTTCCTTTGCGCCCAGGAGCCACTGGGAAGTGGCGCAAGGATGGCGGAGAAAAACTCACAAAAGGAGCTGCGCAGAGGCAACCCCGCTCTTACATCTTCAAATCTGACTGCTTGTGAAATACTACATTAAGAAATTGCTAAGAAATTAAGGGACCCTCGACCAAATAATTGTACATATATACACTGACATACATGGGGCCTTTCCGATAAGAAATTGAGGGACCCTGGCCATCGGCAACCAACATTCTTATATAACGCTCGCGCTATATCACCATGACTTCAACTCTCCCCGCATTGAGGCTCCAGGCCAGTTTCAAGAAGGTCGCCTGAGTAGCCGCCGCGCAGGCGCGTGCCATCATGGTCTTACCCGTGCCCGGGGGACCGTGCATCAGCACCCCTGGCAGATGGTGGCGGCGACAGCCAGGTGCTTTTCGGGACAATCATCCACCAAAATGGCAACTCCAGTGGCGTGTAAAACCAATCAACCAATCATCGAGATGAATCCAGCCGGTGGGAATTTCACCAGATACTCGGGAGGCTCACTATATGAATCACAGATTCTTGGAGTCCAAAAATCCGTGCAAAACTTGATGGCCTCAGAAAATTCGCTTCTCAGATCTGGATTGATGGGTCACCCATCCCTTTGTCCAAGTCGTTCAAGTCGCAAACCGTTCCCGTTGAAAGCCATCTCTACCCACCCATCCCCAAGCCATCCCCAGCAACGCCGCGCCTTTGGGCGGTTGAATCCCAATGTTCTCGAAACGCTCCTTGTGGGTCATCGGCAACACGATGGCCTGGCCACGGAGCTGCAGAGCTGCCTGTCCCTGCGGAGCTGCATCCAGCAGAATTCAGAGGATTTTTTTCATTCCAAGACCTCCCAAATAGCTTATGACTATATGGTGAAATATGATTGTTAATGCCTGACATCATGATATACATCATTAATCTATATAACGTTTAACTCTATTATGATCCATGATGAAGTGACTATGTGGTTATATGATTGTATGATTGTATGATGGTTGTATGATGACTGTATAATTAGATGATTAAAAACAGATGGAGCCACATTGTGGGTACCCATCTTGAGATGGGGTGACCCAAGTTGTCTAAGTCATAAGACAATCAAAAGATCATATATATATAATCATCATCATCATATATAACTATATAGTCATGTATAATCAAATATAATCATATATAATCATGTATAATCATATAGAATCATATATAATCATATCATCATATATATATATATAAACATATAGACTACATAGCCTTCTGAAATGGATTTTCATGATGGGACAAAATGGACAATGATGGGTTTTTTATGGTGTACACCGGCAGCCTCTCGGGGTTTTCAGCTGGACATGACGAAAGCTGGATCTATCGGGGTGAACCATAAATTGTGCTGTGTATTGAATTGACAATCCACAATTTATGGAATCTATGACTCTTGATCCATAATCCCATGAAAATTTGGGTCAAGCTTCAATGAAGCAATGAATGAAGCAATGAATTCGTCTTTTTTGTTGCATATTGGATGGTATTGGATTTAAAAAAAACCTTCAAAAAGATATGCTTCAAGATATGAAAGTAATTTGCCATGACGCTAGCAGGATTTTACCATTTTCGCTCCATGTCCACCCATTTTTGAGGCTTGCTATATATCAACTAACTCCTGACTCTTTCGGGCTACCAACTCCCTCCCATGGCCTCCTGCAACTCCTGAATTTGCCTCAGATGCCGTTTTTTGGAACCGAATCGCTGGCACCTGTAAAACGCATCCAATGGCTGTGAAAAATGGGGACACCCCGAAAATGGCATAGGTATAGGATGAGATGTCTAACCAATAGAATAGTGGGGCACACGATTTTCAGACAAACCCAGGATAGAAACACTACTTTGAAGCCTCCCCAAGGCCCCAAGGTCACCCAAAACTCTGCCGCGGTGCTTCTCTAAACCGCCAATGTCGCTGTATTGGTCTGTGGGGCGCTCGTCTACCTGGCGACTTCGATGGAATGCCGGGGAGGATTTCATCCCCATGCGCACCGATGTTTCATGAGGTCACAGGTACCTACGGAAATTTATCAACTACCCGGCCTGGTAAACGGGCTAACATAACTATGGAATATCACCATGTTTGATGGGAAAACTCACTATTTCTATGGCCATTTTCAATAGCTATGTTAGTTTGCCAGAGGGTATGAGAAACCATTGGAAACCATTACCTACAGAAATTTACTGTCTTGCCAGTTCTTAGAGGAAAGTAGCCTTGAGACCCCCAATGGCAAAGTATGGCAAAGTTGTTATGTTTGTTGTGGGAAATGCCAATTCTTCCAGAAACGGAACGGTGGGAGATGGAATCCTCAGGTGAAATATACCTTTGCAGTCCCGACTACCCAAACTGCCAGATCCGCCCTGGTCAGCATCTAAATCCTATCCAACAAACATCCACAAAGCCATGAACAAGATCCATGGCTGATGTACCCTCTGGTAAACTAACACTTTGTTATTGAAAATGGCCATAGAAATTGTTGATTTACCCGTTAAACATCGTGATTTTCCATAGTTATGTAAACGTTTACCAGAGGGTAGTAGTTCACTTAAATCACCATCAAGTCCCATTAAATCACAATTTTTCATGGCAAAAAAACATGGTTGATTTTCTACTTCGCAACAGACTGATCCAGGAGCCGCGAAATCCCACGTTTTTATGGTGGTTGTTTCGACGTCGCCACCTCCATGGCTTTCACCCTAGAGTCATATTCTGGCGGCAACTTGTCCAGCACCAAATAGGAATCCTTCCCACCGGAGTGGACGGGTGATTTGGTGAATAGATGGGGATTGTTTGGTGGGAATATATGGGAAAGACATGGTGAATAAGGAATAGACCTAGATTTATATCTGTGAACTATGATAAGCTTCTGTTTAGAACTAGGCGAACTGCTGTCGTCCACATATTGGTTGGTTACCCCGCAAGTTATCTTGTCTCAATCCGCCATGTTTGTTACATGGCTGGTCTTCTTTTGATCTGAAAAGCAATCTTTTTTTTTGGTAAACGTTAGTTTGAACATGTTTGAACCATATCATTTCATGGCCATAGACACCACCGACAGCAAAATTCTCCGAGACCTTGTTGACACCTACCAGGTCGTTGGGTTTCAGATCTTCTGCCTCGACCAGGCCAATCACCTCAGCTTTTTCATCATGAAAACTATGCATGCCATAACTGTGATATATATATATATATATGTGATAGATGATATATGATATGTATATGTATACATACATATACATATGTGTATGTATATATATATACATATGTATATATGTTATATGTGTTGTATATGTTATATATATTCTGTATGTTGTATATGATCATATATGTTTATATGTTCTGTATGTTGCATCTGTATAATATATGTATAATGTATATGTTCTGTAACACTGTATAGATCATGCTGTGTGTATGGGTGTATTTTCTTAACATATACAATGGGTGTACTTTCACATATGGATATGAGTCCATGTTCAGATCTGTAAGATTTCTCACAATGTAATAGGCTACCTCAAAATCCCCATCAGTTCACCATCATTTTCCCCATCACTTGATGGCCATATTTTGGGGCCCAAATTTCGGCGCTGGTAAATCCAAGGTTCCTCCGCAAAAAGTTGCTTTTTGCCCATAATCTATGGCTATTTGGGGGTATTTATCATATCTAACGGGAGATATGCCATAGAAAACCCCTGATCTTCTGGGAAAGCTCCATTCTTTCGCTACAACACCAGGGCCACGGCCGGCAGGAAGATCGTCTGCCGTGTGGTGGTCTTCACCTTTGAGGGAGAAAGATGAGCGTATCAAGCATAGATCATATGTTCTATACAGTAATAGTAACACCATCTGTGTATACATTATATGATACATGTATATGTATATGTATATGTATTACGTATTATGTACTATGTATTATGTATTATGTATTATGTATTATGTATTATGTATTATGTATATATATACACACATACATGTGCCGTAGTTCAGTTACATCGGATAAATGTGGGGTGGTCATCCATCAATGAGAATTCAGACATAATGGGCATGTATCAATCCCTATTGATGGATTGATAACCATCCCCCAAACCATGGCAATTTGCCCGAGTTTTAACCATGACACATATGTGATCGGGAGATCGAATCGAACAATCATGCCTATGTATATATATATACATTATATACATATATATATATGTATACATGCACATGCACTTAGTTTTTGTTGCTTGGATATGCGTGTATTAGATATGTATCTATTCGTTGGACATTTTAGGTTTGCAACTAACGAAAAGACAACACATGGCGGATCCATGGTCCATTGATCCCATGGATCAGATCCAGATCTGGTGTCTAAAAATCCCATGGGAATGGTGTCATTATATCCCCATCATTTATCTTCTAAAAGGGTTACATCCCATGATATCCTCCATATTAACATCCCACAGATTTCATATTTCCATATAAATTCCCATATCATTCCCAGGTTTTCTCCCGTCATGGGTCCAAGGGGCTACAAGGCTCTTCCCATCTCTCTGCGTATCGATATCCTGCATCGCACCATCCTCGTCGTCCTGAGCGTGAAACCCTGTGCCATGGTCGGAGTCAGAACAGCCATGCTGTATATAGCCATTAAACCATCAACAATAGAGACTTAATATGGGTTAATGGGACTTAATAATCTTAATATATCTTAATTTGTGTATTTGTTACCATCTGGTTATTTAACATAGCGCTATGGAAAATCCATTATAAATGGAGGTTTCTAGCTGGATTTTCCGTAGCTATGTTAAATATATTGTAGCTGGTTGGTGGTTGACCTACCCCTCTGAAAAATATGAAAGTCAATGGGAAGGATGACATCCCATATATGAAATGGAAAATAAAATTCATGTTTGAAACCACCAACCAGTAATCCAGTTTTCTACCGTGATTCTTGTTGTTATCAATACCCACTGATACAAAATTCTCTGTCCATCCATAGTTTGTTTACCACATTTGCTGAAAAATCCCATGCAGGGCCTTTTCCCTCTTTCATAAACATCTCTTGGGACCGGTTCTTTTAATTGGTTTTCCCCACATTCTATGGTCTACCACCATATTTCTTGACAAATTCGTGTAACCAACCTGAATTTGTTTGGCCTTCTTTGGGGATGGTTGTGCCCAATCCTAATTATCACTGAGAAAAACGGTGAGGTCGTGATTAGATTCATCCACATTGTTGGCGAGGTTCCATTATATCCGACCCTGTTTATTGTTGATGATCAACAACCATCAAAAATACCGTCAAACAAAATATTTCTGGGATATTTCACAGGATGTCTGATGGAATACCATTCAATAGTACCATAGCTATGGACAATCACCATATCCAGCAGGTAAATCCACCATAAATTAAATGGCAATCTTAAATGGCTATCTTAAACTACTAGAGGGTAAACAACCATTGTTGATACCATTAAACAAGATATTTCATGGGATATTTGATGGAATACCATCAACTAACACTGTGAAATACCATTATATTCCCATAAATCTTCTGTTCATATACCATTATATATATATGTATATATATATATTATAGATTTTATATTATATATATATATTACATTATATCATATTATATTATATTATATTATATATATATTATATATATATATTATTATATTATTATATTATTATATTGTTATTATTATATTATTATACTATTATATTGTTATATTATTATATTATAATATTATAATATTATTATATTAATATATTAATATATATTATATATTATATATTATATATTATATATGATATTTTATTATATATTATATATTATATATTATATATTTTATATTTTATATGATATTTTATTATATATTATATATCTCTTCTCTCTTCTCTCTTCTCCTCTCTTCTCTCTTCTCCTCTCTTCTCTCTTCTCTCTTCTCTCTTCTCTCTTCTCTCTTCTCTCTTCTCTCTTCTCTCTTCTCTCTTCTCTCTTCTCTCTTCTCTCTTCTCTCTTCCTTCTCTCTTCCTTCTCTCTCTCTCTCTCTCTCCCTCTCCTCTCTCTCTCTCTCTCCTCTCCTCTCTCTCCTCTCCTCTCTCTCCTCTCCTCTCTCTTCTCTCCTCTCTCTCCTCTCCTCTCTCTCCTCTCCTCTCTCTCCGCTCCTCTCTCTTCTCTCCTCTCTCTTCTCTCCTCTCTCTTCTCTCCTCTCTCTTCTCTCCTCTCTCTTCTCTCCTCTCTCTTCTCTCCTCTCTCTTCTCTCCTCTCTCTTCTCTCTTTTCTCTCTCTCTCTCTCTCTCTCTCCCCTCTCTTCCTCTCTCCTCTCCCCTCCTCTCCTCTCTCCTCTCTCTCCCTCTACTCCTCTCTCTCCTCTCTCCTCTCTCCTCTCTCGTCTCTCCTCTCTACTCTCTCCTCCTCTCCGCTCTCCTCCTCTCCTCTCCTCCTCTCTCCTCTCCCTTTCTCTCCTCCTCTCCCCCTCTCCTCGTCTCCTCCTCTCTCCCTCTCTCCCTCCTCTCTCCTCTCTCTCCTCTCTCCGCTCTCTCCTCTCTCCCCTCTCTTCCCTCTCTTCCCTCTTCTCCTCTCCCTCCCTCTTCTCTCTCTTCCCTTCTGCTCTCGCTTCCTTCGTCTCTTTCATCTACCCTCTCTCCCCTCCTCGTCCTGTCCTCTCCTCCTCTCTCTCTCCTCTCTCTCTCTCGCTTCTTCTATCCTCTCTCTCTATATATGTATATGTATCAATTGTTGTTACCATTTTGTAGGTACCATTTATACATGATGAATCCCGTCCCCCCAGTCTTTACCAAAAAACACGGTTTTGTTTGGTGGTGTAAATCTCCCGAAACATGGGTAGATAATCCCATTCAGAATAGCTGGGTAGTAAATATAATTGGTGAGTATTCATATTCCCATCAAAAAAAACAATAATCTTAGTTAAAATAATTTCATCATAAATGCATTCCCATCATCATTCCCATTAAAATAATATCTAAGTATTTGTTCCACGTCTTCCCATTAAAGAAGCCGATATCAGATTCCGGTCCCATCCGGCTCTCCTCATCCGGTTCCAACTCCAGGATCTCAGCGACGTTGGCCACCTATGGAAAGTTGGGTTGAACTATGGAACTATGGAACTCTGGGGAAAAAATGGAACCCATTTTTTTTTGAATTGGAAAATGTTCATCTCCGAATTTGAAAAACAAAAACGGGAGACCAAAAATCCAGCTATCACCTATTGTTATAACCATCAAGACTTAAATTGGAAGTGCATGCCAGGAATCGCGAGCGGCTCCCGTGTTTCAAATTGCCATTTTGGGGGTATATGCACATCCAATTCTCAGACACGCCCATTTGGTTAGGGGTTCATCATGGGCAGCGACTGCCCATTTCAACATGGGATACATATATATATATATACATATAATTATACACACATGTTGCTATAATCACCTTCATAAGTGGGATAAGCGGGACAGCAAACTGGACATGTTGGTCCTTTCTTGGGAGGATTCCCCCTGTCTCCATTCAACGTTGGGCCGGTGAGATCGCTATTTCAGAGCCGATATGGTATAGTAAGTATGTTTGAAAGAATCCAAAAGTTATTTCTTAATACCCAATTCTAGGTATTCTACAGGTTCTAAGTATCTATGATGCAGATTCAAGTAAGGTCTACGTAAGTTTGTTTTGCAAACAGTTAAGATTATCAAAAGCACTATCTACGCCAATACTGAACCATTTTGGGCGCCAGGTATCCTCACGTCTGAGTTTCAACAATTTTGGGAGAAAAATGGGCACATCTCAGTTTGTTTTGAAAGAATTGGATGTATCGAATTTAATCCTGAACTCAGATTGGTCATCAAATAGCATCAAGCAAATATTCTTTCTTGAACACAAGCCCTTTTGGGATTCCCCTTCATCAACCTCTCTCCATAACCCCGGGATTGTTGGTCATCTCCATTCGATTTTTATTGGGACGGTCATTCGATAACTCAGTGTACTGAATTGGATTTTTAACACAGAAGTACTGAGGTACCTAGCTCTTTTTTCGTCCAGCCAGTGGGAAAAAGGCCCATATCTGGATCAGCTATGCAGATCCCTTGGCCGACTATCTGAATCCCTTGCCTGAGTCACGGTGCTTGGTAAGTCCCATAACTGTCTTCTCCATGTGGTTGGTAAGCTCAATCCCCATGAGATTTGGTGCGAAGATAGATAGCCCTACCGCTTCGAATCACTCCGCATTGGATGATCCTGAGCCAAGCCCCAGCTGAGGTTCCCGTACGAGGTGAGGGAGCTGTCTATTCAACTTGATCTTCTCCTTGTTATCTTTCGTCTTCTCCTGACGCTCGCTTCACAGGCGAAAAATGCCTGTTGATCCGAAACGCTGAAATGGAGGAGCTGGAAATCCACAGAAATGAAGGTCTTAATGGGAGGATAATCATCAATGGGTTTTCTCCCATCCTTTCCTCCCAAAACACTGCAATTTTCGGGATCTCTTGGACCCCTTTGGTGTCTCTGATTCACCGAACGATGTTTCCTCTGAATCCCAACAATTGAGCCCAATTAAAGCCCCAAAGCTTCCACAGTGAAAATCTGAAGCATTGTGATGCATTTTGATGGGGATTCCCGCACGAATGATCCCAGATTGATATAGTTAGGTTGAGAACCGCTAAAAACTTATCGACCAACACGGACATATATTGTTTGCTAATATCTCGTTTAAGAAAACACATGGAAAATAATAGATATTGGATGATATTGGGTAGCCAAAATAGTCAAGCAACCATTTATCAATTTAGTACGCCAATGTATGATTAAAAGCCGATGGTGAAACTCCCCTAAAAGCACTCCTCTAGACCCATGAGCGATGTGGAAAAGCCACCATTTGCAGATTATGATCCTAGGGAAACCATGCGTTTGCCACTAAATTTTCTGTATGATTGCAGGGTAAATCCCCACTAAATCATATTAGATCCCATTAAAAAAAGAAAACTTGTATATACAATTATATATATATACCCTCTGGTAAACTAACATAACTATGGAAAATCACCATTTATAGTGGATTTTCCCATAAAACATTGTGATTTTCCATAGTTTTTTGTATGTTTACCAGGGAGTATATTTACACCCATGAAATCACCATGAAAAAACCCACGAAATATAACCAACCCATTGCCTCAATGGTCTTCATCTCATGGGTGAGCCTTTGCTGCTCGCCTTAGCATATAATCCTATATATGAAGTTATATTTAGATGTACTATATACAAGGGTGTAAGTATAATGCTGTAAATATAATGATGTAAATATAATCATATATAATGGTGTATACATATATATATGTATTTATTTATTATACTTCACAACATGTCGCCTGGCAGATTACGCAAGATTGCACCATTTGATTTGTGATGTCCCTCAAGTTTGTTGACCCCCTCTTTTTGATTCCTTATCGAGTCATATCGCCCCGTTTCGTTGGTGGAACCGGATTTAGTCGGTCATCTTGCCACGTTCTTCCACTTTTCTGCTTGGTTATGTCTCCCTTTGTCACTGCTTATTTAGCAATTCTCCTTGCTTCAGCCTTGTGCATTTGCTTTGGCGTGATGTTCATCATTTTGTTGATGGGTGTCCTTTTAGGAAACTAAATGGGTTGGTTTAGCATACTATCCGCATACGTTTAGATATTGACATATTTGTTGTTCAATGGAAAGGACCCCTTTATCATGCAACCAAGCAGTGGAAAAGGAAATCTGTGTGCATGACTGGTTTCATGGCAAGTGAAACTATGTAAAAGATTGATTGTTCTTAGTTTCAAACCTGCAGAAAACTTGTGGATAGTCCCATCGAGCACACTTAACCCTTCTCCATTTGGCACATCAAAATGCATTTGGGGTTGTCTAAAAGTAGGGCAGCCTTCAACTCCAAACCTTACATCCACTAGTAAATCATCATCTTTTCCCTAGAATAAGATACTATTTTGAGACTACACCCCCATTTTCAGGTCCATCATCTCAAGCTCGCGCTAGTTCCCATGATTTTCCATAGCTCCCCCATTTGTCCCATGGGATTTTCCCCAGCTCCCCATGTTTCACCCGTTGCAAAACGTCTTGAAGCCTTGGGCGCCCGAGCTTTTCATCACTCGGATGTCGTTCTCCAGCAGTCGGATGCGCTGATTGATCCTGGGATCGCTGAAGAAATAGCTATTGTTAATGGTTATTGATGGCTATTGATGGCTTAACAGATATTTTTGTGATATGACTATCTGTTAACCAATATATCCAGTTATTGATGGTTCTTGATGGTTACTGTTAACCATTACTATCTGTTACCACTGGTGATATTACTATCTCTTATTGTTTGTTAATGGTTATTGTTGTCAACAGGTGGTAGCAGATAGTGTTAGGTAAACAGATATTGATGATTATTGATGGTTAGCCAATATATCAGTGATTAACAGATAGCGATTACTGATGGTTGATATGAAGAACAGATATAGTAGGATATTGATGATTAACAGATATTGTTTACTATTAAACAATAGTCTTCTTGTTGTTATGAAGAAATCGTTAAGTTGTTCAGCAGGTGGCTATTGTTAATATAAACAGATGGAGAAACCATATTCACTATGATATGTGTGTATATATATAGTTATTAAGCATAAAGATGGTTTAATATATCACTATCAACAACCACTATCAGATAATAGACGAGCTAAGATACATGATTAAACCACATCTCATATATAATATATATAATGCATTCATATGGTTCTTAACATATATTAATCAACAGATGGTTAATAGTTGTCTTAATTGAAATCCCATCATAACATCTATTGATATTGTATCAATCAGATTAATGATTATTGATATGGTGAAAATAACCATCTATTGGAATAGCTAATAGATGGGATCAGTAGACAACCATTAAGATTTATGAATGGGGTATTAATGGGAATATTAACGGGAATATTAATGGGAATGCATAATAATAAAGAGCGGTTGTTTTGCAACTACAATGACTAGGATCTATGGTGGATATGATCAACATTCATGGTCGGTGGTCCACATCTATGTATGTTAGGGCTAGGGGAGAAAAAGTTCGATAGATGCACTATATACTGTAATCCCCGTGTGGTGCACCTCTCCACCCGGAGCCAAGGTTTTCCGCCAGAAAACGGGCAGAATCCCTAGTAACCAAGGTTCATGTGACCAGGGGCTGAAAAGGGGTATCTTACATTTCGGATATTTTTAAGATAAAGGCTGCCCCAAGGAAAAAAACCTAGGTCCCAACATGCCAACATAAAACCCAACAAAAGGCAAAAAACCTAAGGTACTACAAAAGCACATTTTTCTTGCTCCCCACGACCCCGCTCCCACACCATGGTTTAACCGAGCTTTGTCACTCCGCAATCTAGGCCCACCTCCACCCCGGAGTGCTGACAGCTTCTGACGTCAATAACCCCATTTGAATCTACAACCAAGATCCCAGCCCCCAGGTTTTTAGCCCCGCTATTCAATCTTGTGGGGGAGAACAAAAATTTTATCGAATCATCATGGTTGCTCTAGATTTGTTTGACACAAGATACACAAGGAAAAGTCTTGACCCATGGCCCTAAGGTTTTCACTCCAAAGTCTGCGCCCACCTCCGCCCCGGAGTGCTGACAGCTTCTGACTTCAATCCAATTTGAATCTACAACCAAGATCTTTCAATATCTCTCACGCATCCTGTTCAAAATCTTCCTTCATGTTTGTGGTGTGAGAAATATTTGTGATTTTTCATCTTGCATCATCATCATCATCATCATCATCATCATCTGGGTCGAAAACGTGGGAACAACATGTTGGACTAGTTGTCCTCTAAAGGCGAAAAACTTGGGTCACCACAATACAATGATTTTTTATAATCACCATGTTCCCGGGCTAAAAACCTAGAACCCTAAGATATAAGATAAAAATGTGAAAAAGGCTGAAAACATGGGGCACTAGATATCATATATATATATTGATATAAAGCTGGATAGGTTCCTCGCCCTTGGTCATTGGGCGAAAACCCTTGGACTCCGGGCTATGGTTTTCAGCCAGGGACCCCCAACGGGGATATACTGTATGTATATATGTATATAAGTAAGTAAGTGAGTGAGTGAGTAAGCAAGCAAGGAAGTAAGTAAGCAAGCAAGCAAGCAAGCAGGTAAGTAGCAAGCATGTCTGAATGTATGTCGGTTATGATCATTTTCCGGTACCCGTCAGTACCATTGGTTCCACCAGTTAATTGTGTGACAATTTCGGATGATGTTAGAGTCCCCCATTCTAGGAGAAAAAACGGATGAATTCAGATATATATATATGTATATGTATATGTATATGTATATATATATGTAAATGTAAATGTACATATGCGTTTCCTATTCCCCCCATTTGTTGTTCGATGATTTTCCCATGAAAAAAAAACTCCATTGATGTACCAGGATCGCCTCCTTCCCGTAAGAATCCCCATAGATCAAGGGGTACAGAAATGGCATGGATTGCCCTGAATTCATAGCTCCGCGCACAGTGAGGTTTTTTTCGCATGGCAGTGTCACATTCCAATAGTAACAACGATAATGAGGTAAGCCCAAGAGTTACCTGTATCATCCCATATCATCCCCACTTCGGGCTAAGAAAAATATGTTTGCCCCAGAAATGGAATGGTGTTCACTATGATCCCCCACTATTTACATGGGGATGGAGGATCACTCCACTTGGTTGTATAACAATAGTTAGAATCAATCCATGTCTCGTATATTGGATATACTTTTCTACATATATCCATATTAGATCATTATCAGCTATTGAATATTCGATTTATACAATCATACTTATACATGAAAATATCTCGTTATATGTATATATACAGATATCAATATATAAATAATCTACAGCGTATATATATATATTATATATAATATCTATAATTTAATTATCCATTTTTGATCATAGCCTAGTATAATCAATACATATAGTATCTTTACGGGACGACGAAACTGGACGATTTCTCATGGTGATCGACGGGTGAATCCACTGAGAACAACACTATCAGCTATAGCTTTCTCAGCTATCGTGAATCAACAAAGTTTTTCAGCTAAAAAAATAAAGTATAAGCTATAATTTCTTGTGAATCAACTATCTTCAGCTATAATTTGGTGAATCAACCAACTATACCCACTGGTAATTTAACATAGCTATTGAAAATGGCCATGGAAATAGTGGATTTACCCATTAAAAATAGTGCTTTTCCACAGTTTTTTGTATGTTTACCAAAGGGTAATAGTGGATTAACCAACGTTGGTGCCATACGGAGACCATGGCGTTTGAAAACGTTGTGGATACCAGGCCCTGGGCAGCCCTGACTCATCCGGGCTGGCACGTTTCAGTTCATCCGTCAAGATGTCGTCCTAAAAACGCTGGGAAAAACTACGGTGCGTTGTGGATACCCTGGGCTAATTTCAAACAGGTTGCTATGCAAAGTCACCATTTTCAACAGGGTAAATCCTCCTGAAATGGACCGGTTTCTATAGCAATGTTAAATTTTCGGAGGGGAAATGTGTGGGTGAAACCAGGTGATATAACAGCATAGAGATGTACCCTATGACTTTTCGGTGAACACCATCCCGAAACCACCCTTCTGCGAGTCTGGTCATCTGGTCATGTGGACACTGTGGAGTGGCACACTACTACGTATACATGTGTAATTATATATATATACATAGTATATATATATACACGTTATAACTATATATAATCCAATAGAAATACATACACACTATGCGTATACAAATATTTATATATATATATATATGTGAGCCCCCAAAAAAAAAAAACGGCAATACTAAATATGTATTGGACGGACATTAGCTTATGGAAAATGATGGAAATTGTTAAAAACACACGGTAAGCGATGGGACCTTCCCAAATTAGCGATACCCCTTTTCAAGGTTATGTCATTGTATTTCTCCAATATCCACATTAGCGATACCCAAATTGGACGTTGATTTCTGTGAATTAGCAGTTTCCTGCAAGCGATACCCCCCAAGTTTACCATATATCATTATTGTACAAACGTGTGGTAAGCGATGGGACCTTCCCAAATTTGTGGATGTCCTTTCCGTGAACCTAGGGTTTTTGAGATTGCTCATATATTATACATATTATATACGTAAATACATACTATATATATATATATACAGATGTAAACATCTCTCAAGGCGTATTTCATGAAACACTCGTGGGCGCCTCGCCCCAAATGTCGGCACTGTCAAGACCGGTCCTTGGGGCAGCTCCAGATGGATTCTATGGGGTAAGTCTCTGGTAAACATACAAAAAACTATGGAAAAATGGAAAATCACAACCTTTTGTTCATAGGAAAATCAATCAACTAAATGGGTTGAAAAATAGCAAACTGATAAAGAAAGCCAGAGGGTAACCCCATAGAATCATTGTTAGGAAGATTTAATGATGGTGTGTGATGATCCATGATAGCTATTGATGATAAATTTCCCATATATCTTCTCATAAAAACTGTGGATGTGATGCAACCAACAAAAATGGGAAGGTGGTCTATGTAACCAACCAGAATGCAGAGATTATGTCATGTATCTTCAAGACTCTGATAAAGTGGAGGATTACCTTCCCCAGTAGAGAGCAGTTTCCAAAAAAAAATAGGAAATGAATTGACATGACCTGCAAAATCTTGTAGGACTTCGCAACAAAATCACGATGTTTACGCCGATTAAATACACACATGATTTGACTCCATATCCAAATACACATATACATAGACATAGACATAGACATCCATGTACATATACACTTATTTCTGCGAAGGGGAACACAAATGGTATACATATATAATATCATGCGTATATATAATATATGTAATATAATATGTATAATTTAATATATATATATATATACATAAACACATGTCAGATGTCTATTTTTGTTCACGTTCACTTGCCATGTGCTTCCAAGTTGCCCCGTCGCCGGCGCCTGGGTACGTCCCATGAAAGTTGGCGTTTATCTACCAACCCATGTTTAGGAATACTCAGAATACTCACCAATTATGATGGGAATGATTGACCATTATAATTGGTCCGTAAATAATTCCCATAATGATTGGTGAGTAAATCTCACGAATCACATCCCCCATTCTAAACACCCCCCAAAAAACCATGGTTTTAGTAGGGAATTTACACATTTGGGACCATCGAATGGGGGTGTTTAATATTGAGGCGATGGGATTATTATGGGTTACAATAATCCTCATTAAACCAGGTGTTCAAAATTCCCATACTAACCAATGAAGAGGGCTATTTTTAATGGCTGAAATCAAAAAAAAAAGTGCTCAAAACCCGCTGCCCGTCATTCCATTTCATCCTGGTTGCTGCAACCAGAACAGGATTCCCAGTTCATGGATGATCATCGTCGGTTTCTGGGCGAGGGTTTTTTTTGAACTCCCTTTTTTTCATCAACCATCACTGTCAATGATATCCCAATATCCCCATATTTTGAATGATTAAAAGCCCATGTTTTTTTTTAACAATGGACTGTGATCAACCAAGAAGGGTTGGTTAACACTGCTCGACTCAAAAACCCCACAGTATGACAACGCCACATCTGTGACCCCCAGCACCTTCAAATCCGCACCTTTGGACGCTTCGGAAATGTGCTTCAACGGGGTAACATCTAAGCATTGCATTCAAAAATTCATCCTGCAGCTATCAGCTATCGCGTGAAGCATCAGCTATCACCATCGCTTTGGCAGTTCGCAGGGCGACGGGAGACGAGCTCATAGCCGAGATAGAAGATCGGAGCAGCCACGAAACTCACAGACTGCAGATCCATGTAACTCTCGACCCCGGAATGAATCAAAGATTGCGTACAAATCATGGAGTAGAAACAGGGCAGGAAATCCTGCGCCAGAATCTCAAAAGAGGCAGCCAAACCGGCACACTGTTCCAAGGGCTCAAAGTACAAGACGTTCAAAAGGATCAAGGCTGCTGCATTCAGCAGCGACTGAAGGAAAGATGCCGTCAGGTACGAGCTCAGGTGATCTGCGAAGCTCCCGAGATACAGTGAGAAAATGCCCGTGAGACAAAACATGACCTGAGTGGCCCCAGCAAAAATGGATTGATATACAAAGACAAAAAACATATATGTAACTTTGTATGTATATATACATATATACGTAATTATTTGACATGCATGTATACATTATATACGATATGCATTTGATAAATATTGATATATATATATAT